AGGCGGATCAGAGCTGTCACGGCCGTTCACGATCTCGACATTACGCATCATCGAAATGACGGTATTTGCAGACACTTCCTCCTCTAGTGACTTCAGCTGAATTCTACGGGACAGCTCCATGTCAGACATTCCTGAGATGAGACGATCTCTGATACGCTCATCAGCGTCAGCGAAGCTGCAATGCTCAGCTAGAGAGAACAAAGCTCTGATGTACGATTCATTAGTCTCGCTTGAGCTTTGAGATCTAAGCTCGAAGCTGTGACGCTCTGCAATAAAGTTCCTTTTCGGAATGAAGTACCCGTCTAGCTTTGAGACAACAACTTCAAAATCCTCCTTCTGCTCAGCAGTAAGCTTAAATATTGGTACGATATGCTCAGCCTGCGGACCCATGCTGTAAATCAACGCAGCTACTTGAACGTCACCGTCCTCTTTGTGTAGTCCCGATGCCAGTCTGTAGCGGACGAACCGATCACGCCAGGTCGGCCACCTCTCAGGCGATGTGAAGTCGAATTCCTCAGGAGGACGAAATCCAGGCATCTCGACTTGGTTCACAACTAACACTGTTTAAATCAATGTGCTGCTTATGCTTGCTTAAGCTTACTCTAGGTTCAAAGCGGCTGCGCCATATTCAAGTCTACGTGTTCTGTCTACCCAGACCAGACACGAGCGCTGCGAGACGGCAACTGTATTATCCCGCGAAGCGAGCGGGCGGCGCCGACTCCGGAGGGTGGCGCCCCAGGCAGTACACCGCCATTCGGGGCCGCGGCGTACCAAAGTGCAGCAGCACTGGCGGCGCGAGCAGGGGCGGTCTCAGGGGTACGCCAGTAACATCATGATACAGAGACCAACCTGGAATTTTACCTTGTTTGACCTTTTTTGATCCAAGGGTCATAACCTAGGAACCTGAAAGTTTGACCTGAGTAAGTTTACGTACAGGTCAACACATCCTGTAAATTTGGTGTGTCTAGCTTTCTTAGTTCCCGAGATCTCAGGGGGGGGGGGGTCAAACTAACCCCCCACCCGAGCGAAGGATATCTAGGCGGCCAGCCGGATGTGTGTTAACACGCGCTCGGATTGGGGGTCAAATTGAATCGCCCCCGAAGGGTTTTCCAGAATGGTTTCGGAACGGCGCGGCGCAGTCACGCCATGTTTTGCATAGCTGTAGAAAATTGAATAGAGGATCGTTTAGCATAACACAATTTAGATGTACTTTATAATGTCGCTGGCCTATGGGAGGTCAAAGTCAGGCCATGGTTTCAGCGAACGCAACTTCTAGGGAATCGTTCAATCTGATGCAACAATGGAATGTGAGACAAAGCCATACATCTCTGAGATGCTTTCTCAAGCAACACAAATATTGAATGAGCAAATTATGTTGACATAAGGTCAGATACAGAGGTCAGACAAAATCAAAACCAACCTGTTTTATTACTGTAGGGCTTGCTGGATGAGATGGTTTCTGGTGCTCATTTCGAATTTATTGATGGCGGAAACCGCATTTTAATCCTCCGAGGACTTCTTTGAGGTCAGAATACGTCATTGACCTAAAATGATCTGGGTCAACATTTTGTTTTTAGAAACATACTGGCCAGCGTTATCTTTGTCGCTTATTCAAATGCAGAACTCAGAGCGGTCTTACCATGACCTTCAAAAGGTTAAACAAGGTCACTGGCCTTAAATGAACATGTGGCCTTTTGCTTACAAACATTATCTAAGTTCTGGGTGCACTTTAGAGACCAATCTAGAATTTGACCTCGTTTGACTTTATTTAGCCCAAAAGTCGTGACCTAGCAATCTCAAACTTTGACCTAAGTGAGTTCACGCACAGGTTAACACACGCTGTGAATTTGGTGTCTCTAGCTCTCTTAGGTCCCGGGATCTCAGGGGGTCAAATTTATCCCCACGCGAGCGAAGGGTATCTAGAGCGTCACCCGGGCGCGCGTTAAAAATGTAAACAGAATTAATTTCACGGTAGCTGCTGGTTTCTGTTCTGGTTACAGCGCAACAATAACAATGAAACGAAGAAAGCCGTATCCCTTGTTAACAAGCAAACTATATCCGGGGACATCCTTTTGTGTGGGGATCACCATAAAGGGGGCTTTTGTCAACCCTGTGTTCCTCTTAGCAAGGCTCTGGCTACCCCCTGCATACACACAAAAACAGATCAAGTCATCTACGTTGAATAATAGGCAATTTAATGTCCACTGGGTCAATTCTTACCTAAAGTAGACAGCTTCCCGGCGGCATTTTCTGGAGTGGTGTGGTGTTAGGGAAGATAACTCGGAGAAAAGTACTGTTGGAGGTGTCCAACACATGCTTTACATCCCAATTAGTAGCAATGCTGATCCAGAAAAAAAATGCAGCAAAGCAGCCATACCACCAGTGTGCGGTCAGTTATTCGGAGACAGCTGAGCCGGGACAGTGGCCACCGACGGCGGACGGGAGCCGAGCTCAGACAAGGAATGTATGACAGGAAGACCTTCATTCTGTGGCTTGGTTTTGAAGGGGAATCTCCAATTTTATGGCTTTTGTCACATGGTTTTTGGCAGTTTCAAGCTTCCGAATTTGTTTCCACCTAAAATGCCGCGACAAGTATTATCTCTTGAAAAGCAGCCAGCGAAATAAAGGCGCATACAAAGCCTGTTGTACTGGGAGCCATCGATTCACTTTCAAAATTCTCACCAGCCTATGCTCAGGCCATATTTGTGCATCTACCCTGTGGAGACAGACGTCTCCTCAATGACCCAAAATGCCTACCCGCTCCTGGAATTTCGGTTCGCCAGGACAGACAACGTTGAAATAGACGAATCACCTTCGGAAGCTGGAAAGCCTTATTTTTCGAATGACAAATGAGTCGAACAGGTAAGAGTGTGCACCAGTGAGAAACAGCTCTAGATGCATATCTAGGATAGCAATTATTGAAATAAAGAGCGATAACCTCCATCTCTAGCCCCCCGCCCCCAACCGGTCGTCGGGCTTGTTTTCCAGAAAAAGTTCTTGAGACACACCCTGAGCTTGCCCCCCCCCCCGCACTTTTTGAAACGTTCCTACGCCTATGCACAGATCATTGGTCACAGATCATCGTCCACTTTGCCGCATTTGTATCCCGTCAGCCAAGACGTCGACTGTCGCTGCCGCGCGTCTTCAATGATGGGCTCTCTTGCTGAGCATGTGCGATTATCAGACGGCACTTGTGTCCGGGTTGCAGAATGTGGCGGCAGACGTTCTTAGTCAGCGGCGCTTTCGAAGGCGGAGACCGGGCTCTGACAGGTGCGCAACGCAGTGGAGGACGATGGAAAGCAGATCTGCCCGGCATGGAGGACGACATGCTGCCAGTTACAGACGAGCAGGTTGCTAAGGCTACGACGCGAGAGGCCGTCGTCGGTCCCAAGCATGGCTGGCTCAGGTCAGGTGCGTGACCATGGAGAGTCGAAGACGTTCGAATGCAACCGTACTTAAGGTGCAGGGAAAGGACGGCAAATCTGGAGACGGTCATGCAGCGGCTTTAAGACTGCGGTCTCCGTCTCAGGAAGGAGAGATACGAGTTGTCCAGGGGGAATATCGTCTATCTGGGACAAACAGACCCACGGACGATAGGGTGAGAAGGATGGTGATCCTGTCCGTGCCAAGCAACGTAGAGCTGCTCACTTTCTCGGCTCTGATGATGTACAACGCCAGATATGCACCAACACTACCGTCAATTTTGAGACTGCTGTGCGATTTGGCTAACGAGGGAGCAAAATTGGCCTGGGCAGCAGAATGACACGGTACTAACACATTGTCATCAACAGGCATTTCAAGTGGACATTTCAAAACTCACCCCAAAAAGACGTGTCTGCCAAATTGAAGTGAAAATGGTGGCGTATTTATTGTATGCCATTCGAGATTAAGACTGAAGTCAAGAATGTAACCGCATAAAATTGACAAACACACGCAGTCCTGCTATCGATGAATAACACAAAGCCGCGTTTCATCCCAACTATCGTGCTACCAATAGTCAAAATCCTGTTCTATGATTGGTCGGGCAGCCATGGTGGATTCGTGACGTCACACCTGCCGACTACTGGGCTCGCAAAACACTTTAGCATCTCGGAAGTCGGCGAGGCGTCAATGAACGTGTCGGCGCGCAGCGCAGGCGACATGTTAGTGCTTTCGCTTTTTTAGTTAATGCGCGAGCTACTAGGGGTTTAACAGGACGTTATTTTTTTAAGCTTGCGACTTGGTGATAGGTTTTTAAGTGGAAGGGCTGAAAAATAGTGCCTAGGGTTCATCGAGGCCAGCCGAATACAAGCTGGCAATGCTGTCAATGCTTTGTGGTATGAATGGCAAGCACGCAATATCTTTCCCGTTACTTATATCCTCATCTACAAGAGCTTTTTGACCGCGGTCACGCTGCCGCCTGCTCACAAACTTATTTTTTCCCAAAATTTGATGGTCACAGGCACGAGGCTAATGTGACGCTTTCCAGTACTCAGCAGCTGGTACGAGCCTAGCATTCGAGTGGGCAGGGCTTGCGTTTGTCTACCAATAACACAGCACCTACTCGAAATGAAACGCGGCCCGAATATTCTCCGTTGTAGATTGGCGCGATTGGGGCAATAGCACACTCCTCTCCCGCGGGCGCGATCGCCCAGGAAAGGGGGAGAGGGGAGGCTGTCATAGGAAACACATTTGCAAACGCTGCTCGCAACCACACCTGAATATTCCCTTCGTTTTCGAACAGGAATCTTGCTCTCGGCATCAGTTTCACGCCTGCGAATACGGCTAGTGAGTTGGTATTTTCTGTTATTTGTTGACATTTGCGAATCCGGCTCAACTGGCGGACACAGAAATAAAACATCGTCACCTTACAGTGCCAGGCGTCATCAGAAACACTATGTTTTGCAGTAACCCCAGTCGGTAATAGATGGCGCCAGTGTCGCCAGCGGTCCTCGCCGCCCAGCGGCTAGACCTGTGGATCGATGCGCAACGCAGAACATAGCGGCGACGCCTGTCGACGGCGGAGCTCGGTGCAGACCATTCCCTGAAGCCACAACTGTCAGTGTCGACGCGAGGACGCAACGAGCTGAGGGGCGCGACTGAGCCGGCAGCAACGCCGAAGGTGAGGAGCATAGAAAACGCCGCCAGAGACTCCTGCATCGGCTCTTGACCCCTCACCACAGCTGTGTGGGATGCTGGTTTGCCTGCTTCATTCCTTTTTGTTCTTGTGGAATCCGCTGAACGTTTCAGTCGTGCTGTCGCATCTGCGGTCTTCAACTTATACGGCAAGCGGTGGGTTTCGATTTCCACGAAATGTAGCATTCTCTGCTCGATTGGTCTCTGGTCCGGTAGCAGGCATTTGAGGAACTCAACGCACTGCGCGCTGGAGCGCTTGCAGAACGTCGAGTATTCGCCGAAGTCTGTGGTGTTCATGTTACCTCGTGTGCCCGCACCACTCTACATTCGATGGCTTACATCCATGTACGTCACGCAGCGCATGTGACGTAGGAGGCGAACACCAACGACCCCCAAACCTGAGTCCAAGTCGTCGATTGGCTTCAGCTTAAAACATATGAAGCAGGCTTGCCGGGCTTGCAGCAAGCACAGTAACCTGAAGATGTTGGACAGTATGCACAGTCTATGGCTGGGTGATAACTTTGTGTACTTTGAGGGTCTGAGCCCCCTATACTTTCAGGCGCAGCATTAGGTCTGTTCGGATGCGTGTCAAGAATGGTTCCATCAAGTCCTACCTTCGTTCCCTCCCATCCTGTTTTGAGGAGTGTCGCACTGCATGCGCCTCCTCTCGCACACGCGCTCAGTCCCTACGCTCGTCACTGCGCGGTCGACTTCCCCTCCCCATCTTCGATGTTTCAGGTGGACGAAATGGGGTTCCGACGGCTGTCGTCCTGCTGCTGCTGCGACCTGCAGTCGGGCGTCGTCTCCATCGGCATCACGCTCATCATACTGAACAGCATGGGAGTGGTGCTCATGGCGTTGACTATGAACAGCGAGAACATGCTCCGCGCAGAGATCGCCGCAGACCCATCGCTCTTCGAGAGTAGCCAGCCCACCGATGAGGAAATTGAAGTCATGGTAGCCAACACCCAGGCGCTGCTCAGCATTTTATTGGCCGTGGGGGCCGGGAGCCTGCCGTTTGACGTGCTGCTGCTGGTGGCGGTGTGGAAGCGGCAGCACCTCTGCCTGCTGTGCTGGCTGCTCTGGTACTCCCTGATGACGCTGCTGGGCGCCGCCTGGGCCCTCTATTTAGTGCTGATCTTTGCGATCAACGGCGAACGGTCGGCCGAGGTTTGGCTTTACGTCGGGGCCCAGCTGGCCAGCAACTTTGTCGGCTGGTACTTCGTCGCCGTTGTGGCCAGCTACTACCTCTACTTACGCGATGAGCGAAGTGGCGCTAGCGGCTTCTACATGGAGCAGCTGCAGTCTGTGTAATGTTACGAAAGGTCGCGATTTGTTGCGGTAGCGTGTCTGGTTCCCGCTGCTGGGAAGCAAGGTGCTTCAAACATGGCATTGTTCTCCGTTTACGGAAATTGCGTTAGCAGAAAATGTGCGCTGGAGTCTCTGCAAGCAACTCTTGGTTATGCTACACGGTTTGCCAGCGGCTAAACCTGCAAATTCTGGTATTAAACTGCTCATAAAGCTGGCCGGTTTCGGGCGCAAGTGCCAAGCTCGATCACGTCAGTTGACATCGGGCAGAAATATTCCAGACGGCTCGAGCATCAATGGGGTGTGTGTTCGACGCGACTGAATTTGAGGTTTTGTCATGCGAACCTGATGTTGCGCTGTGATCGCGCGAGCTGAGAGGACAGTGGGTGCCATGGGCTGGATACATATCAGGGAGAAATGTCTAAATGTCCGAGAAAATGAAATGCATACATATCTGACACTTACCTGATGCCTCTGAGACATTTGGCATCCATGCCTCTATCCTTGCCTTCAGTCATCGCGAGTTTTCTCTACGCGATCAGTACTTAAATTCACATCTGTTTGAATTAAGAGCATGAGAATAAGGAGTTTCTAACTGGATATCTGCAATGCATCAACGTATGGCTTCTAGAAGTGTTTCTCGGCTCTACGCTCTGTATGTGGTCATGAAGTCGCACACTTGGAAAGAGGACAGAACAGAGGACATGATAGAAGGTATCACAAACGACAGGGAAGACGATAGGATCGCGGACAGACCGAAGCGTTATCACAGAGGACGTGACAGGGAATATGATCAGAGGGCAGACGGAGATCACGTGGTGATGACGCGCATCACCTCAGCAGACGGCGCGTCCAACCCTTCTAATAAGCAGCAAAGGAGGCAGGGCAGGTGCCTGGGGACAAAAAAGGGGAGAAAGGTCAGTGCAGTTCAGTTCATATGTACGAAGATAGGACCAGGACTGAGCTCACTGCCCTTTGCTCCACTTTACAGTACAACAGATGACACCACAGAGCAAGGCGAGGGTCCAGCACAGCACATACCACAAAGCGGAACACCGGACAGGGCAGGACCGAGAACAGACCGGGGTAGAGGGCAGAGCGGGACCGAGAACAGGGTAGGGTAGGTGGGAGAGCGGGACCGAGAACAGGGTAGAGTAGGTGGGGGAGCGGGACCGAGAACAGGGTAGGGTAGATGGGAGGGCGGGACCGAGAACAGTGCAGGGCAGAGGGCAGAGCGAAACCAAGAACAGGGTAGGGTAGGTGGGAGACCGGGACCGAGAAAAGGGTAGGGTAAGTGGGAGAGCCGGACCAAGAACAGGACAGGATAGAGGGCAGAGTGGGACCGAATACCGGGCATGGTAGTGAGAATGGCGAGACCCACCACTACGCAAGACAGGAGGCGATGTATGACACAAGACAATGCAGGATGGAGAACAGGGAAGCAAGGACAGATTTCATAAGCAGGGAAAAGGGCTCGAGCGCCGAATAGGACGCGGACAAGTCAGGTTAAGACCGGTCTTCACCTGTTCCATCTTGAAACCGACCCTGTCCCGCCTTGCTCTGAGGTGTTCTCTTGCCTCCTCTGTCCCACCTTGCTCCAACTCACTCAATCACGCTCCGTCCCGTTCCGTCTCAAGTGCATTCGAAGCAAGGGTGTAGTTTCGCTTCAGTTGGGGTGGGGCTTCAGCCTCCAACTTGGGATTCGGCCCCTCCACATTGGGAGGGAAGTGAAAAAACAACGAAAAGCCTGTTTGTTGGCATCATTAGGCGGCAGGTTGTCATTTTCCCCACTTTCAGCCCCCAAAGCCCACGTCACGAAACCAAGTCTCCGATTCGAAGCAATGACGGCTAGTTTCTTGAAACAAGACTTTGATTGTGTGATACTGCCGCGCATAGGTCTTAGCAATACAAAATAATGTCGCTTGCAGGCCTTGGCAAAAGAAATGACGCTGCGCATAGGCAAAAGCCGTTACGCTCTCGTGCAGACGTAATGACTGATGCAAGGCCTTCAATCACATGCTGCCGAAAAAGCGCAGATGTGACCTGAAACTTTGCAGCAGAGGTAACGTCGCATGACTTAAGGCTAGAAGCTTCTCATTAGACAGAATGGCGGCTATAGACTTTGAACGAATGGGTTCGCAGTGTAGCGATGTCGGCTGCAAGTATCGGCAGTGCGAGCAATGTCGCAACACTCCTGTTAGTTTTTAGCGCTGGCGTCAAACTGGCCGTGGGAAAGGAGCTCCGAAAAAGGGAAGGGGCAAAAACCTCCCGAAGATGTCGAACACGCATCGGACTATTCCATAGAAGGTGGCCCACAACGCTTAATTCGATTAGATCACGTGGTTCGTCAAAGCTGTCCCGCAGCCCCCTTCCGATGTGACGAGGCTGGGCGAATCAATAGATCTCCACCATCCGTCGAGAATCCTGGCTGGGCAATTATTCGTATCTTCAATCAAGCGCGGTGCGCTGTCTGATGCATCTCCCCAGCCGACCCGCCTCATCTGGTACATATTGCGTGCTTGTCTGCCCCCGCACGTCGTACACGTCGGTCACCCCCCCCCCCCCCCCCCTTATTGCCACAGGAACGTTATCAGCACTGCTTTACGTGCATAAACCTAACGCAAGCAGCCGGGACCATCTCATCTGCTGGATGTCGACTGACGGCTGACTGGCCGAACTGGGACACGCCGTTCCGTTCCATGTCGCAGGCGTCCAGCCCCGCGGCCGACCGAACAGCGCCCCCCGTGAACCGTGACGGCCGCGCCATCTGCACTCTGCTCCAGTCACACGCGGTCATGAGCAGGAAAACAACCGAAACTGTTCACCATTGTATTGATTACTTCGCCACTGGCTTTTTGGCAGCCTTCTTGCCGCCCTTCTTGCCAGTCTTAGCGGCTTTGCTCTTCTTGATCTGCAAAACAGACAGGCGCAAACATCAGCCACGGAACGCCTAACACTCGCGCATTTACAGCACAAATCGCATCCGTCACAGGAAACCAACACCAGAATTTTACCACGAGGCGCAAGCTTTAACTGATGGTGTCGAAGGACGCACACCCATCCCAAAATGTATTTACAACTTGCTAGAAGAACGCCTGGCCCACACACCAGGCAGTAGTTTATACCGCTGCCAGCGGGATGCGGTTGGGTTAAAGGGAATGCCCCACATCTGAATACTGAAGCGAGCATCACATGTAATACAATGGCTCGCATCACCATTGGTAAGTTTTTTAATGGAAAAGGCTACTAAGGCGACACAGTTCGTCTGTTGATTAACTATGCTCCTTAATACATCACTGATTTACGTCATGGCTACCTAGCGCAACAATGATTGGGAACCAATTGACGGGCACTTTACCTGGAAAACGTGCTCACCAAAGTCAAATATGAACAACTCGACAATTATCTCCGTTTTGGCCTTGACGGCCGCATGGCCAATGTAATGACAGGATTTGCATGCCATTATTGTAACGTCATGGATGCCTGGGTGACTTTAAAGTAGCCTGCCCGAAACAGTCTGCACATCTTGGCGGACGTATAGCTCAGAAACCAGAATGGTTTAGGCCCTATGAAGGGCAGGGCTGTGAACTGCGCAGAATGATCTTCACGATGACTTTCAGTTCAACCCCCCTTACAAGTGTGTGTGTGTGTGGGGGGGGGGGGGTGAAATGATTGAAATGATTGAAAATTACGCAGTGAATCTTCAATGGTCACTGCGCGACGAACGACTAATATGTGTTTTCAGGTCGGGTACCTTCATTGCAATGATACAGCCGCAGAACCAGCTTCCTTACCATGGAGTGTGCCAAACGACTGTCAGGCTTAAACGAGCACTATTTCCTGAGGTTCCCATTGCTTAGCTACCGGTCGCTCTACGGGATGTCCCGACATTGATGAGCGGTTGGTGCCAGCCATCATTTCCCCTCTCCCGAAGCTGGGTGAGTGGATTTTACCCCCCTCGGCCCCAGGGCATCCCGCGATCACGTGACCATGGCGGCCAGCAGCCGGTGGAAGATGCCATTCCTTTCCAGATAGCCAACGCGTCGAGTCCGCAATCGCTAATGTTGAAAGAGCACAAGCTATCGATCCGCTACCGCGCGGTTGAGATGGCCAAGTGCGGCACGCCCCAGGTTCAGGTTGCCTGGGACTTTGGCGTCAGCGTAGCGACGATTAGGCGCTGGCTGGACCGCGACCGCTCAGGAGAGACGCCCGAAAATCGCGCAGATCGTGGGCGGAAGTCGGCCTTGAGCCGAGTGGCGAAACCGTCATTGTAAAGTCGGCCTTTAAGCGCCACTGGACGAGAAACCTGGCAAGAAAACCGACGGCGAAACAACCAGCCTCCCAGTCGGCCGTTCACCGGTATCTGAAAACCAGCCTGCAGCTGAAGCCGCTCAAGCCCAGGTTGCAGCCAAGGCTTACCGTGGACCACAAGCGAAGGCGGCTGAAATTCACCAAGGCCCGCAAAAACTGATCCGTTCGGGACCGGAGACGCGTCCTGTTTTGTGACGAGTCTCCCTTAGAGCTCTTCCAAGCACATAACCGCTGAACGACGGGTCTGGGCCAACAACAGCTCGGAGGTGCCGAGCGCGAGACAATGAAGCAGGCGCTTAAGATTCTCGTCTGGAGCATGAGCTACAGAGGCCTCTCTGAGCTGCACCATGTCCCGCGCGGGCAGACCGTCATCGCCGACTACTACGTCAGAGAGGTGCTGGAGAAGACTGCAGCCCCAGCGATGCAGCGGAGGAAGGAGAATGGCCCGCCCACCAAGGCCAAACTACTGTCAGACATGTCCAGGGCGATGTTTCAGCAGGACGGCGCTCCAGCTCATCCCGCCAGGAATACCCAGGACTGGCGCCGCGCCAAGTTCCCGGGCTTCTGGGGGAAGGGTACGTGGCCAGGCAACAGCCCCGACAGGTAGCCGATCGAGAATCTTTGGGCGATCATCAAGGAGGAGCTCAGAAAGATGTCACGGCCAGTTCAGAGAAGACTGCTCCAAAACGTGCAAGCGGCGTGGCGGTGGATCAAGGCAGACTCTCGACACCTTGGTGTGCAGCATGCCGTTGCGCATGCCGCAGCGTCTGCGACTGCGTGGGGGTTACGTTGGAAACATTATGAACAGGTCTCAATTATTTTCTCTGTTAGTGAGGACGATACAACCGCGCATCAATTTCGGGACACCCTGTACAAGCAACCAAACTGATGACGGGAGAGGTACAATTCTAAAACCCGCCAGTTCCAGAATCAGGAACTTTCGCTGGTCCGGAATTTACTGTCGGGCTGCAACGTTTATGAAGCGGCAGTCAGGTGAGTCGATAAACAGCCCAGCAGACACACCCGCGTGCTTCACATTTTTCCAGTCGGGGGGAAGGTGGGGGGGGGGGGGGGGGGGGAAAGGAGGTGGGATTGACCAAAGTTTAACGCCCGTTCAAGGTAATCCATTTGGGGACGAGGTTCATTACGTAGATATCAAACCGTTAAATCACAAAACTTTAGGAGGGTTTAAAACAAATGCGAACCTCTCGATCAACCTTCCAGTGCCTTTTCACCTTTAACCCCTTCCAATGGTGGAAATGGTCTAATCTATTGCCTGCGGCCAAATCGCCGCATTTCAGTTCGTATGCTTAACTCCTAGGGTATGTGCGTATTGTGGAGTGATACTGTTGTCATGAAAAGTTCACACGCACTTATCCCAACACTTTTTGCACAGCACTCCCATCATGGGTACCCCAGCACAATGGCACCATTCCGGATAAGGCTGGTTAAAAATATGGCAAAATGAGAACCAGTTACCGGAACCTTTGAGGACTGCTTGAAGCTGCCCCGACACACGACGGAACACCTCGGCTCCACCCCTCCAGTGCTGTGCACAGCAAGCTTGACCGCACATACAGTGCAGCTCTGTATCCAGCACACCCGCGCCGCCGTCTGCCCGGCAATGCGTCTGATCGCGCCGCATCCCTCAGCGCACCGCCGACTGGTGACTTGGGCTTTAAGACGCCCGCCAGCTGCCCTGGTCACACGGCGCCCATGCGCATCACCGGCCGCGGCGCTCCCCGGGCCCAGCCCCGCGCCCGCCAGCTGGTGCTCACCTCCGTCTTCAGCTTGGAGCAGGCGTCGCGGATGATGGCCGTGCGGGCCTTGCGCAGCTTCCACAGCTTGAAGCGCTCAAAGTCAGTGAGGCTCTGGGAACGCTGTTTGGCGCGCAGGTTGCGGCACCAACGGCTGTCCTCCCACGTCTCGCTGACGTGACGGCCCACCCACTGCTCGCGCACCATCGGCGTGCTAGCCGTGTGCGGGATGCGGATGCGCAACGTGGTGATGTGCACGTTCTTGAGGTTCACCACCTGTCGGCGCACACCCGTGCATGGTCCGTCCACCAGCACCTGCAGGGGGAGGGGGGGGGGGGGGCATCAGTGCAGGCCCCCACACACGCACACACACACACCAACTGGCCAATAAACTGGAATGGGTACATGCCCTCATATCATTACACATGAGCTCTTAATGCTCTCATACTTTTACAGATTAGCACTTCCATCTGTTATGGATGACCATTCCCAGAGCAGAAGGGCAGTACACAAAAATGAGTCCCACCCCACCCTGTGGGGGCAAGCTCCAGTTGTGACACCATATGTAGAATCAAAACATACACATCCCAAACACCAATGAAATGTGTGCAGCACCAATTGATGTATGCCTGGACACTATCAAATTGTACACTCAACCAATCTGAAACTATATTATATCAACACAAAGTTGCACATGACCTGCTCCACCCTTGAGGGTCTTTGCTCAATGCAACAATCTTAACTACCACGCAATGCCAATAACCACTTACCCTATTCTGGTCAATAATATTGACAACTGCACATATCTTGCCCTGCAAAGGGCCAGAGGCCATGTAGACCACGCGGCCAACTTGTATAAATTTGGTGAACCCCTGAAATACAGATGTCATCTTATCACAAAAAATTCAGGACAGCATGCTAAAGCCATGAACAGTCAGGAAATCATGACCCACACTTGTTGGACAGTATGAGTGGCAACAGCCTACCATGCATGATCTATGGCAGCAATCATGATCTCTCAGCAATTATGATCCTCCTGCAGCTGCTCATAGATGCTTTACAGACATGGGCTGCAAATATGTTTGAGTTTTTAGGAAAACTTATACTTTACATACAGCGCAAACCTGAGGCTCAAAAGCAAAATGCATCAAGGCAAACATGAGAACACAGATAGCAGGGTATGCTCCCTGTATGGCACATAATTCATGTGACACACATTCCAGTGTATAGTTATCTGGTGGCTGACATAACTGAATTAATTCACAATATACTTATTTCTTGTCTTAATCACTTCACTCTTTCCAATTGCCCTTGATAGATATTGCTCCTAGATTGTTCATGCTGAAGATCATGCAACACCAGAGGGCAGCACAAACTGCAAGCATTGCAGCTTGTTAATCTTTCATTAACAAAGTCTGCCATACATGGAAATGATGAAGAACCAGATGACAGGGATTTAGGCTCACATTGCTGCTTAGCATGGGTTTTAAGTCACAGAAATTCATCAACTGAAAATGTCCTGACTAAATATTAATGAAATGATATAGCATCTTCAACAGCATCCTCAGGATCTCAGTCTTCTACATCATACACAAAACTTTCTACACACATAGTTATCCGGGACAGCACACATCAAGCAGTTGTCATGATGCACAGAAGGAATAGGGTGCAACAAGGAATGAATAACAGCAATGTCAAAATATCTTTCCAGGCAGCATAAATAAAAATCAGCACATTTGAGGCCAGACAATTGCAGTCAGCAAAACAACCAACTGCACAAAATGCCTACACCAAATCAGCATCCATAACATCACCCTCACGTACTCCAAGCTTTTATTAAAACACAATGCTTAATACTGAAATTGTATCTTTTAGCATATCACACACTTCAACACCAGCCATATGATGTCATCATGAAGCACAATGGCAGTGCACATATAGGGTATTCTATTCTGTGTCCCCTGGATTTGGGCTGCCATGAGATTGTTGTGCTTGAAGTTAGCTAAGCTGAGAGCTGTATTCAAGGGTGCAGCAGGGTTGTAGTTCAACAAATTAACTGCATTGGTCAGGAGGGCTGGACAACACATTGCATTAAAAGTGGCATCATGCAGGCAAGATGATAAGCTTTCAACGCAGCCGCCTGCAGCATCCCACATCCAGAAACAGGTGGGTACATGGTACTGTCACTGGTTGTAAACATGGTCACCCTATGTGGATGCCCTGATGCATTTTTCCACTTCATCGTATAATATTTTTCAAAGGGAATAAAATGATACAAACTGCTTTAAAAATAAAATGGCACTGTATATATTCCGATCACCTAACAAACATCATGCTTCATTGCAAAAATCCCAGCCCATGTGCTAAAACTCGTGAACGACGTACTCTGAACACAAAGCACTGGAATTTAAGGTATGTAAGCGCTGAAGCTGTCGGCGCGATGTTACTGCTCATCCCGAAATGTCAGTCATTAACGTGTTTTTTGAGGAAAGATGGGCTGTTGACGCCCACGAAAGGGGAAACAAGAGCCAGCCAGAGCAAAACCACAAGCTTAATCCCGGTAACTCGAAATATTCAATATGCCTCCCCTCAAAACAAGCACTTGCAGCCGACAGAAACGTCAACAAATTGAACAATTCTATCCCGGCTCCGCCAGCATCCTCACCATGGCCACTGTAGGGAAGAAAGGATGGTCCGGACAGCAGTGCCATTTCTCAAAAGATAATGTGATTTCGCTGGAAGTTTTGTCCCAACATCCCGTTGCAGGCGGTGTGTAGCTATTAATTCACTTCCAGTAAATATTACAGCTGCCCATTCAGCAAATTATTGAAACAATCATGGTTTTTATCGTTATTTACAACACTGGTACTCTCATTGCGTTCGTTTGAAATCGAGAAACCGCAATAAATTATGCCACAATTTTATTATTTGGCAGCAAAGTTCTAGCTTTTTAGGCATATGGTGGCTATTGCCGGAGCGTAAGCGGCGCTAGTGTTTCAAAAGTGTTGTTATTGTTTTTCAGTTTCGTTTGCCACTTTATGAGCCGCCTTACTACAAGAGGAGCCCTATGTGCATGCTGGGCGTTGCTGTGACGGTTCTCGCTGGGGAATGGAGGTAGCTTCCCCATTCCTCAAGCGATAGTTAAAGTGGTGTTTTCTTGTTCCTAAAAAAGATTGCGTCATACTTTGTAGTGGTACCTGTGGAAAGCTTGTTCGAGGATGGCACTGTTGCAGGTTTGTTATTAATTTTTTCATCTTTGTGTTGGTCACACTTTTGAAAGATAGCTTCAGGGTTTGAAGCGACAAACGATAGTTTGTTATTGTGTTAAAGCATGGTGCCAAAAAGCATCGATTTGGGTTTCAGGATTGTGGATCAACCTGAAATCTAGGGAACATGCTCACCCAAGACTAGTTCATTTTAGTGAATAAGCATGGAATATATCATTTGGGGAATTAAGTGATTTTTCTTCAATGTTTGGTCACCATCCTGCCTTTTGATCTGGTAGTTATGCTCATGAGTGACAGACTTCAAAGCAGACATGCTACAATAAAGATGCACTCCATAACAGTGTTGTGACAGGAAAATGTCAGCTCATGAGCACCATAAATCCAAGCGATCATCATAGCATCATCAGAAGCAGGCATCATAAATTGCAGCACATAAAGTCTGAGGGGTTATGATGCTAAGGTAATTTCAAGCTCAAATGATATTAAAACATGTCACTCAAAGTAATTTGAAAGTTCCATGCAGTTTTGCCTGACCTGAGTTAGCACAAGAGTGCACAAAGTTCAGCACACTGATCTTGGGTGGAAACCCAGCATAGTGGATACATTTTTGCATCCTTTCAGAAGTGTAGGAACTCTTCAGGAAGAAGGAGGGCTTAATATACAAAATGCATTGATATTACTCCTCTCCATAGTGTTCAGATTATGCTGTACATATACACTGGAGTTTATTATTTTATTTTCACAGCTTAATGTGGAAATATTATGAAAACTGGGCATATGGCTGTCATGGCATGCAATTCTTATGTCTGGCTCAACACACAAGCACTTCCCAAGAAAAAAATTGCCTCGCATCATTGATACTTGTTTATTGTTCATGTTAGTTGATTGTGATTGTGTTGCACATATATGAAAGAGAAATTTCAGGTACAGATCAGATGCAGATGTATAGAGCTAATTTCTGGTTACAGAAATGTCATTAAGGTTTCAAAAGTTTTCTAGGTAATTGCATATGATTAGCGGTCTTGTAATCGTGCCGATTTGTACAAATTTGTACCATTTCCTAGATTTCTTTTGTTTCCATGGGTGAGTTTCACTTATATATGGTGTTAATATACTGTACAGAGTATATGCAGACCACAATGTTAACTGACACTGTCTTTCTAGTGGAGAAAGTTCAACTTCTTTGAAGTAACAAAAGAAGTTGACAATGGGGCAGTTGCGGAGGCATTACAGGTAAGGCAGCTGCTTCATACCCGCTTGCTCAAGGAACAGTAGCGTTAAAACAGCTACATTTGCTGGTTCAAACTTGTAGCTTGCTCACCAAAAACAGCAGCTGTAAGGTCATCATCCATATCAAATATTAAGGCTGCTGTGACCAATGCCATGGGATATTAATAATGTGGTCTTTGGCAACAGTAGTGTGCTTTGGCTGTAACTGTTTGATAAATTGCATAATTCTACAGTAGTCCTAAGAAGTGCTGGTTTCTTTGTTGGTAGCCCTGGATTACAGGATATCTAACATTTTGGCAAGTTGGGTTTAAATGAGTTTAAAATGCATGTACCATTTGGAAGCATTTATAGCCCATCTGTCATCCAGTGGTGCAATAGCTGAGGTCCCAAGAAAGTCTGTCACAAGATCAAAATTTTTGTTGTCTCTGACCAAATATGACTCCTGCTGAGTAGGCAGTCACCTTTTGCAGTCTGTAAAGTATTTTGGATCTCCTTCCTTTAAACAAAAGTGCACTCACAGTGCAGGAGGAACAGGTCATTGATCAGTGCATGGATCATGGAGGAAGTAAGATGAGTTGCAGATGTGACAGTCTAAGAAAAACTTCAAAACCATGTTTGATTGAGAGGTGCATGGAAGTTTCATGTGAGGACATTATTGAAAACCCCACCAAGTTTTTCATCACTGAGTGAGGGTAATGGTTGTGGCCTTCAAAAGTTACCAGAAATTTTGGAAGTATGCTTTGGTTCAGGCAGCTGCAGGCAGTTCTTGAATATCATGAGCTGTGTTTTGCCTACATTTAATTGAGGCATGTTGGTGCAGAAACACATCAAAAGAGGCTGGGATGCATTCTGTTTGACTGACAATGCTCATGGATTTTTCACAGCTAATTAAGTCTGGTGTCATCTGTACAGTGGATGTTCACTCCACTGAAGTTCCCTCTGTGAAAAGACTCAGATCATATGCAAATAAGCTACAAGCAGCTGTTCCCATTGCAGATCCCTGGAAATCTCCCATATTGTTGGGCAGTATTTAAAATATTTTAGCAAGACTGTTATTCTAGCAATACCTATACTGCCCATAGTTGCAAGTCAACATAACTAGTGACATGCTATCCCACTCTGGCCTGCTGCATCACCTGTGCAGTCAGCAAGGCTACTTAACTCTTCCCACCTTTCTCCCCTCAGTCCGGTCAGGTGACCTGTACTGCCAGCGGTCGGGGGTACCTGGTGCTGGGTGACAGCCGTGGCCTGGCACACTTCATCAACCGCCAGCTGGAGGTGGTCTCACACCGCGTGTTTGATGCGGCTGTGTCGCAGCTCGTACAGCTGCGCTTCTGTCCCGTTCTGGCCGCTGCCGGAGTAAGTATGCGCAAGGATGGGCTGCATCTGCTCCCATGATGACAGGCAGATGCTTGGTGCTCCAGTAGAAGATATAATTGTCTTCATGTGTGACAGACCAGAGGCACTTATTTCCCTTCCAGCATCTGGAGGTTACATTGTTGGACCAGTAATCTGAAATCATGTGTCTGGTGATTGCAGGTTGAACTGTGACTGGTTGAGAGAGGGCGATCAGTTTCTTCCCAAACAACAGAAATTATCTGAGTAATGTTGACCTCTGATACGCCATCAAAATGTTAAATGTATCAGTTAGATAGATGGCTTTCAAACAACAGATCACTTTCCAGGAGGATGAACTGGGAGTGTCATCGATCAAAATACTGGGCCTGGAACAGTTGGATGGTGGCGGCGCCCCTCGGCTGTTGCGACAACTAAAACTGCCTCCTGCGGCTGACGGCGGGACCTCAGTCACTTGCCTCAATGTTCATGAAAATCTCCTGTTCATGTCCGCCGGTTTCACGGACGGTCGTGTCATCCTGTGGCGCGGTAAGCCGTCATCCTTTGGCAATCATCTTTACTTTGCATTAAATGTAGCGGGGCTAGCAAGGAGGAAACGTTGAACGCAGTTCAAAGAGAGCCCTAGGTACCCTTTTAACGCCCATTCTTGTCAAGCGCTCGGAACTCTGGACTTGCTTGTTGAGCCGATAAGCTGCGCTGTATGTGGTCAAATGTGCACAGGCTGGCAGAGTGGAGCCTAGATGTCCCCGAGCACCGTAACCGAAAAGGCTGGCCAAACAGGTGCTCTTTACGGACCTCCAGATGATCTAGACAGAGAACCTTCCACCCGATAGCTCTTGGCTAGACTTGTCTCGACCTTGATTAGTCTCTAGTGGCGCCGCGTGGCCGCACCCCCGGGTCTTGCACCGGGTCGGCGTAGAGTGACGCTGCCCTCCGGCAGGTGACGTGACGCGCGAGCGGTCCGGTAAGCACCAGGTGCTGCACGCGGGCGCGGCGCCCGTCACCGGACTGGGCTTCCGCACCTCCGGCAAGACCAGCCACCTATTTGTGGCCAGCACGCAGGAGGTCTGCTGCTACAACATCACTTTCAAGGACAAGGAAAACCAGGTGTGAGGCCCGACGGCCCCCAACCTCCCCATTGTCGTGTTGCTGCCACTGATCCTGGTCTGTTCTGCCGTCCGGGCTTTTTCAAATATGATCGGGGGTGCATCTTGCACTCGACGTAGGCAAGTTGGACGTATTTCCGAAATGTGGACTTCTCAACTGTATCTAAATACGCGGTCTCTCAACTGGTCCATCGCCGACCTGTTCGCTGTACGGAAGCAGAGCTTGGAGGACCAGCGTCCACGGCTCGGGTCACTCCGTGCCCGCCGGACGCGGCGGCCGGGGAGCTGACCTTGACCGCGCGCCTGTGGCCGTCAGATCCAGCTGGACCAGGCGGGCTGCTCCCCGCGCTGCGCCGTCATGTCCGAGGGACTGGCGGAGCCGCAGTTCACCATCGGCAGGCCGGACGTGCGTACAGTCGGGCGGCGGCGCGCCCTGAGGAGTGCTGTGTCGGCTGGAAACGGCCAGGCGACGCTCGGATGATCGCGCCGCTCGGCCGCTCCGTAACGGCCCGCTGGATGGCCAGTCGCGTATTGGTCGGCAGCTTACAGATGCCATGGCTGTGGAGAAGTCATTGTCGATCGGTTTTGCTGATGGACTTGGTGATTATAGCGCCAGGGTTGGTACACGGCTGTGACACTCGCTGCGCCTCCCCGGTTCCAGGCTATCTACTGCTACAGCGCGAACGAGCGCGGCGCCTGTTTCGTGTTCGAGGGCGATAAGCGGCTGCTGCACTGGTTTAAAGGCTACCTGGCCGTGCTGACAGTGGAGCCGGCCCGCGGCGGCGGCTCGTGAGTACCGGAGGAGTCTGAGGGGGCCGGCTGGAGTGCAGTCCGATAGCTGCAAGGCGGTACTTTTAGAGGGGGTCGCAGCACGACGCCGTGTTTCCGTATGCATGCTATCATTTATCGTGGTGTTGATTTGCTCCGAGTGCAGCGTGATTTAGACTGTGAGTGTATTAGTCGGAGATGCACGGCTACAAATTATTGAGACTTGGGCTCGGAGCATCTAAACGTACAGAACAAGGCCAGCTTTCAGCTCCAGGTTGACTGAGATCGTCTTCAGAACCCTGGGTCCATGGACCGCGTTCGCCTCGGATGCTCAGTGATCCACCTGCCAAAGCCGCGCAGTACTGTGCTCGTATCATCAACGCACCTCCATCAAGACACTCTCCTCCGATGGCAGCGAACCGGCCGCGCCCGACAAGCACGTGCTGACCATCTACGACGTGAGCAATAAGTACGTGGCGCTGAGCGTGGCACTGCGTGACGTGACGCACGTGGTGAGCGACTGGGGCCAGCTGTACGTGGTGACGGCCGACCGGCGCCTGCTTCGCCTCACCGAGCGGGACACGCAGGCCAAGCTCAAGGTGCTCTTCAAAAAGAACCTCTACGACATGGCCATACGGTGAGCCCCGCGGTGTTGTGTGCCGGTCCAGTTTCAACGCCCATGCGCCACAGCTTGTGGTAGTTGTCGTGGCTACTTGGGTTGTCGGTCATGCTTGTGCAGCTGGCCTTTATGGCGCCTGTTTGTCGGGTGTGAGCGGTGGATGGCTGGGTTCGTAAGCTGTGAAATTTGTTAGACGCGTGTCACGCGCCCCCTTGGCGGTGTGGCGTGTTTGATGACTCTGTGGTGTTCGCCCCGCCCGCTGTGCGGGCGCAGCAGCCCCTGAGCCGATCTGGCGGCAGTTATGAGGGGCTCGTCCCCGTCCGTGCCGCGCTGGTGTAACCCTCCCTGCGGCGTCGCCCTGCTGCCAGCCTGGCGCAGTCTCAGCAGTACGACGCCGACGGTCTGGTGGACATCTTCCGGGAGTACGGCGACCACCTGCACGCCAAGGGCGACTTCAACGGCGCTATCCAGCAGTACATCAAGACCATCGGCAAGCTGGAGCCCTCCTACGTCATCAGAAAGGTGCCGGCCGCCGTGTCCCCCGTCGTGACATGACACGTCATGTCTGACGTCATCGCGCGCTGTTTTTTATCCGACTGAACCTGCGTGCGCATGGCATCCACGCTTTGCGCCGAGTCACGCCCGTCAAACTGTTTAGACGCGAATGGTGTCGGCCGGTTCTGACTGCGTCGGTGCGCTGACTAACGCTCACGTCTGCCTGTTGCAGTACCTGGACACCCAGCGCATCAACGACCTGGCGCTGTACCTGCAGGCACTGCACGCAGCTGGACGGGCCACCGAGGACCACACCACCCTGCTGATCAACTGTTACACCAAACTGCGCGACACCATACAGCTGGACATGTTCATACAGGTTCTGACCCCCTCCCTCGCCCCCTGCTGTCAGCCGCTACACCAAGCTGCGCAACACCATACAGCTGGACATGGGCATACAGGTTCTGACTCGTCCCTTCCCCCTCTGCTGCCAAATTGCTACAACAAACTGCGCACTACCACGAAGGGCCTGTTCACACCCCTGCGTGCGCGGCCTCTCGTCGGTGCAGTCGCGTTGACCCGATCGGCCGTGCCCGCACCGCGTGCGTCGCCGCACTGACCGGCGCAGCAGCCACCTCACGCCGGCGGCGTCGTGTCGGTCGGCAGGGCGAGGACGGCGCGGTGGGGTACGACGTTGACACAGCAGTGCGCGTGTGCCGGAGCTCCGGCTACTACGAGCAGGCGCTGACGATGGCCCGGCGCCACCAGCAGACGGACCGGGTCATCGCCATCCTCACCGAGGATCTGGCTGACCCGGGCCGCGCGCTGCAGTACGTCGCACAGCTGCCGCATCAGCAGGTGATTACGTGAGCCCCCATTGGGGCTGGTGGTGGGAGAAGGAGACGGGTGTTGGAGACGAATGCGGGATGGATGTGGCTGGGAGGTAGGAGCTGTTTAACTGGTTCACGCCGCAGTGCGACCTGTGATCGGACCCGTCTCCTGACATGTCTCCTGATGTCTGTTGTCAGTGCGAGGCGGCCATCCTGCGACACGGCGCCGCTCTGCTGAAGGAGCGGCCGCAAGAGACGGTCGAGCTGCTGAAGAAGCTCTGCTGTGCCGTGAGTGGCGCGCGTGTGGCTCGTGGCTCTGACCCCAGGAGGAAGGGGGGGGGGACACCGATGTCCTCGTGTGAAGCGAGCCGCGCGAACGCGCTCCGGGCGTCGGTGCCGAGAGGACTCTGTACCGCCCCGTCCCCCAGTCAAGCGCTCGCAGTCCCCCGTCTCCTGTGAGCGCCAGCGGAGCGGCGGCTGTTGTGTGGCGCCCGGTAGTCAGACGTAAGCCGTGGCTAGTTCGGCCGGCTGTCCTCTGCACGCAGTGAGCGTCGAATGGCCGCCACGGTAGCATGCGGTTCGCGCCCGAGGATCCGGTTGCCGGTTAAGCTGCCAGGCCCGGCTACTGCCCTTGCTTGGGCCGGTAATCGGGGCATGTTTTGTGTTCTTACGTGCGTCGTGATAATGCACCGGGGCCGTGCTGAAGTGGCGAAGATCGTGAAATGGCTGCGTGGCGCCGCCGGGCTTCACCACCGTCACTGCCGATGCGCTGTTACCGGTAGCGAATTGTACGGGGGCAGCGATGAGTCCCGACATGTGAGCCACGGACAGTGCGCGTGCGCGCCGGCACAGCCCGGTGTTGGGCCGCAGGAGCCGCAGTTGGAGGCGGAGGCGGAGCTGGCGGTGCCCATTGAACGGTACCTGGACCTGTTCGTGGCGCAGCCAGACGCCCAGGGCCGGCTTCCTCCAGCACCTGATGGAGGTCAGCGGCTCACCTGGGCGGGCGCTGGAGCAGGCTGAGGAGAGCGGGGGTGGACGGAGGAGGGGCGGGAGGGACGGGAGAGGGCGGCAGGGACGGAAGGGGCGGAACAGATGAACAGACGGCGGAGGACGGGAGGGACAGAGGTGGGCGGGATGGATGGAGAAGGGCGGGAGGGACAGGGGAGGGCGGGAGAGACGGACTAGGGCGGGAGGGACGGAAGAGGACGGGAGGGACAGAGGAGTGCGGGGTGGAGGGAGAAGGGCGGGAGGGACAGAATAGGACAGGAGGGACAGGGGAGGGCGGGAGAGACGGACTAGGACGGGAGGGACGGAAGAGGACGGAACGGACGGAGGAGGACGAGGCCGACAGAGGAGGGCGGGAGGGATAGAGGAGGGCGGGACCGACGGAGGAGGGCGGGAGGGACGGAAAAGGGCGGGACGGACGGAGGAGGACGGGACCGATGGAGGAGGACGAGAGGGACAGGGCAGGGCGAGATCGATGGAGGTGCGTGATGCGCTTTTGAACGGAGCATGTGCCAGACCGCTGCTGGACCGTGTGGAATACTGTCCTCAGGTATGGTCGGTGTCATGTTGTCCGTCACCCTGTGCTCCGTCGTCTTCTGCAGCTATGGTCTTGAGCTGCGTGTTTTGAAGGCTGTTTCCTGGGCGTGCGTGAATGTGAGAGCCGCCTCGATCGGCCACCCCGCAACCGCCCTGTAACCCAGCTGTTCACCTGCGTGCTTTCCAGGTGCGGCCGGACGCGCTGGACTCGGACGCGCTATTGGCGCTGCTGGAGCTGTACCTGGCCGACGGCAGCGCCGCGGGCGACGGTGCAGTGCAGCGGACTGAGAGCGCTCTCCGCCTGCTGGACAGCCCGCGACTGGACCTGCCGCTGGCGCTGCACCTCTGCCACTCGCGCGGCTTCCAGCAGGGCACGGCCAAGCTGTACGAGCGTGCCGGCATGTGAGTGGCGACCGGCGGAGCGGCCTCAGGGAGCCGGCAAGCGTGCCCGCCGACGCCGCAGAAACTGCATTCCGACGACCCGCAACGATAATAATAATACTAGTAATAGTAATAATAATAATAATAGCAACAACAACAACAACAGCAACAACAATAATAATAATGATAATAATAATAATAATGATAATCATCATCATCATCATCGTATAATTATGCTATTTATTTATTTCTACTGTTATGGTGACGATTATTATCATTACTAGTGTCCGTACTGTGCGGAGGAAGTGGGAGATACGCATTTGGACGTCGGGAAATGTTACTGTTGAAGCTGCGTCCTGTGACGCCCTCCGGTCCTCTACAAAGCATGTCAAAGATATTTCCCGTAGTTCTGACAACTTTGCTTTATTCAGGTTTCCTGACTTACATTCATTAAAGATGATTTGAGTTAATCTGTCTAGAAGTATGTACAAGTATGTATGTTACTGTATTGGGCCGCATGCAATTGTGCTGGGTTTGTTTTGTGTTTCCAGTATAAGGACATGCGGCTCAGTAAGCGGCTGTTTCGGAGATTGGCTTTTACGATAGGTTCAGATTATTTACGTTTTTTGTCGCATTGGATCGATGGTAGGATTAATGTTTTTTATAGTCGTGAGCTCCGTTATTTCTCATAAAGGACATGACAGATAGCTGTTCCTGGTACTCGTGTCCGTCAACATATGGGTAATGTTTGCTCGGCCATGCTCCTGGCCAGCGCTGACCTGACCTCAGCTGACCTGACCTGACCGGCCGGGGTGCCGTCTGCAGGCACTCACAGATCCTGCAAACACAGCTAGAGGCGGGAGACTACGAGCCGGCGCTGGAGACGTGTCGCCGGTACGGCCAGACACTGCCGCACCTTTGGCTGGAGGCGCTGCGGGCGCTCACCAAGCAGCTGGAGGCGCCGGCCGGCGTCATCGTCACCGTGCTCGACACGATCGGTGGGTGGTACCCCCCTGAGGACGCGGGGACGGACCGTGCTCGGCACGATCGGTGGGTGGTGCCCCTCTGAGGACGCGAGGACGGACCGTGCTCGGCACGATCGGTGGGTGGTGCCCCTCTGAGGACGCGAGGACGGACCGTGCTCGGCACGATCGGCGGGTGGTGCCCCTCTGAGGACGCGAGGACGGACCGTGCTCGGCACGATCGGTGGGTGGTGCCCCTCTGAGGACGCGAGGACGGACCGTGCTCGGCACGATCGGTGGGTGGTGGCCCGCTGAGGACGCGAGGACGGACCATGCTCGACACGATCGGTGGATGGCGCCCCGCTAAGGATGCGAGGACGGACCGTGCTCGACACGGAGCGGGGGATGAGTGGCCGGTGGTCTGGACAGCGATCCGAGCTGGATGGGCTGGCCAGTCATGCAGGCGAACAGGCCGGCGCGCCCCAAAGCCCATGCATGTGGAGAGGTGCGAAAATGTTTCAAACACACGAAGCCGCCGCACGCGACAGTCACTGAGTCGTGAGCTCCCCCATTGGGTGGCGTTTTTCCACTTCTGGGGAACTCCCTGTTGCGAAATATCGAGATGGTCTTTGTAATAGTGAGGCTGCGATCATGTTCACATGGCGATCCGCACGTATTGCCGGCATCACTACAGTCGCTGCCGTGATGCTGAAAATGCTGCGAATGATAATGTAACATTGCGAGGGCATCGCATCGCTCGCCGCCAAGGGCACAATGCCAACGCACGCCTGATGCGCCTGCCGTGCAGAGAAGGGCAAGCTTGCGCCGAGTATGGAGGTGCTGGAGATGCTGGTGGAGTCTCCGACGCTGGAGCTGGGCACCATCCGCGACTACATGAGCCGCACGCTGTCCGCTGACCAGGCCGACATCGACGCCGACGCGCAGACGGCCGACAAGTACGCGGCCGAGGCCAGCCGCATCAGAGAGCAGATACACCGCGAGGAGAACAGGTGAGCCGGTGCGGATCTGGGGCGCGGCCGGGGCTGGTCCGCCGTGGAGAGGACAGGGCGGGTGGGGCAGATCTGGGGCGCGGCCGGGGCTGGTCCGCCGTGGAGAGGACAGGGCGGGTGGGGCAGATCTGGGGCGCGGCCGGGGCTGGTCCGCCATGGAGAGGACGGGGCAGGCGGAGCAGAGCTTACATGAGCAGGACGGTTGAGCTGGGCAGAGCCGACCGCCGATATCCTGGGGGAGCCTGATGTCTTGCCGATTGTGCCTCTACCTCCAAGAACTCGTTCTGTCGGAGTGGAGTGTCCTGCAGTGTGCCACGTAAGCCGCACGTTGGCTGACGGCCGGGCCCGTCCGGCAGCGCCATGGTGTTCCAGCGGACCAGCTGCGCCGCCTGCAACCAGCAGCTGGAGCTGCCGTCGGTGCACTTCTTCTGCCCGCACTCGTACCACCAGCACTGCTTCCAGAGCTACGCCGACCGCGACGACGACTGTCCGCTCTGCCTGCCCGAGCACAGCCAGCTGCTGAGCGATCTCCGCAGTCAGGTGGGGCCCGCCAGGCGGGGAGGTCCGTGCTGGGGGCGGCGAGCTGGAGGTCAGGTCAGCCCCTGGGGAGGGGGGAGGTACCGATCGCGTCGGGTGGAGACAGGACCATGTGGGGTGATAGTGCAGGAGGTGCCCGTGCTGAAGGTAGAGCTAGGACGCGGGAGAGTGAACCCGACACCTTGTCTTAAACGAGACAGTAACCAACTTGTGTCATCACCGTGTGTTGCCAGCAGTGTGCTCGCATAACCGTTGTGTGTCGCCGACGCGCCGCACGCTCTGACGGCCCCGCTGCCTCCCCTCGCCAGTCGGGCGCCGAGGAGACGGAGGCGCAGTTCTTCCAGCAGCTGGAGACGGCCGACGACATGTTCAGCGTTGTGGCCGACTATTTCGGCAAGGGCACCTTCTCACGGCCGAGGCCGGAGGAGGCGGCGGCCGAGTCCGGCGCGCCAGAGCTGACGCCCGCCCCGAGTAAGTGGGAGCGGTATCGCGTGTGGAAAGCCCGCCCAGAGCGTCGCAGGCGCCCTCTGGCGAGCGTGCGGCGCTACGGCCTCCAGGAAAGGGGCGCTCCAGATAACCAGGGGCCATATGTCGTGCGCTCTGTCTTGAGAATTGAGATGTGTGGTGTGCTCTTCACTTTCGCGCGCTCTCGCGTGGTGTGTCGTGCCTCAGCTGGGGCCGGCCCATGCGGCGGCTGGGCTGCATCTGGCCTATCAAACTAACCCAGCGGGTGTCCAGCCTAACCTGTTTGACCGGGATCGCGGAAGTGCCCATTGCCTCTATGATGGGGGACCGTTTATGTCACCTGCGTCGGGCGTGTCCAGCGTGACCGTGACCCGGGTCGTGCCCTGTGCCGGCGGACGCGACGCGTGGCCTCTCGCGTGACCAGGCCGGCCCATGTCCTCGGCACTGCGGCTGTGACCTGACCGTCGCCGTGTCCCCGCAGACGGCATGAGCGCCTACCTGGCGGCGGGCGCGGCCGCCGAGCCGGTGGGCGCCGCCGCCGAGGCCCGACTGCGCCTCGCCGACCGCACCGGACCCGGCCTGCCAGGTCAGTCAGCCCCTGGGGGAGGGAGGAGGGAGGCGGACAGGTGACCTGATGCGCCCTGTCAGACTCCCGACGAGACACGGGAGGCCAGTGCTATGTCGTAAGCTGTGTTCTTTTGGCCGGTAGTGCCCGGCTGATGGTTCGCCTAAGGAACCATTAACAGGAGTATTGTGATAAGGAATCTTCCCGAAGCAAACTGAGTGTCCTCCGGGTGGGCAGAGTCTGGTGCTGTGGCGCGCGCTGCCGGGCGTCCGTCCGTGGCCCCGGTTTCACCGAGGTCTGCCGTTTTCCAGCTGCGGACTCGGAGGCACGGGTCCGGGCGGCGGAGCAGCGCTCGCAGCCCACGCAGTCGGTGGCTGAAGGCCGTCTGAGGGCGGCCCAAGCCAGTCAGGTGGCGCCCACTGTGGCCGAGGGACGACTCCGAGCGGCCCAAGTCAGCCAGGTGGCGCCCAGCGTCGCGGAGGGACGCCTCCGGGCGGCCCAAGCCAGCCAGGTGGTCCCCAGTGTCGCGGAGGGCCGGTTAAGGGCGGCAGAGGTCCGCCAGCCGCCGCTGAGCCGACCGACAAGCGAGGGACGGCAGAGGCTGCAGGAGGCGGCGCGGACGGCGGACGCCAAAACCAGAGCTTCCGACCGGCGTCCAGAGATGGCGCAGACGGTCAGCCGGGCGGCTGCGCCCAACCCTTTTGAAGAGGGTCCGAATCCATTTGACGAGGACGCGACGAATCCATTCCTGGACGATGAAGCTGACGCCAGCAATCCGTTCGCCGGGGATGCAGACGAATACGACAAGAGCCTGAATCCGTTCGAAGAATAACTTCAGTGTGTATGGTAACAATTGGTTATGCTGAACATGCCGCGGTATCTGCATCATTGTGCTTAGCTACCATGCGGTTATCACGTGGCTGTTGTGTTGGCACTGCGTTGCACTACTTTCCGGTATTTTACTAGGAACCGAATCAATACCGTCGGCTAATGGCTTCAGTCAGCCACCTTCCTTTTGGCTGAGAGGGTGCAGGATGGGGAGGGGGTCGGAGCGTGCGCGCGAAAGCCTGTCTTCGTTGCTGTCCTGGAATACCGCACCGGTCACGGGGGCAGCGGCGCGTGTCTGGGACGGGGTCGCTCCGGGTCCGGCCACTCATCACCCGTCGGGAGGCGCTGCCAGGGAGCGGAGGTCGTGTCGAGCGGGACGGTCGCCCTCAGCGGGCCCAGCGACGCGGCCGTGCCGGCTGATGGTCGTTAGTCTGGGGCGCATCGCTCTCCGTCAGTCCTTGGCGTTCAGAACGTGGAGAGAGCGATTTTGTTATTCTATGTATCATGCCGAGTAACGTGTTTGCTTTCTGTGTATTCACTCGTCATATGTTGGGAAATATGCTTGTTTGTAATGCGAAATACCACAAATATACGAATCGATACCAAGATTATTAAAGAAGTAGGCTATCATACTGCGGCGGACTTGCTGCCAAGCCATGAGCCAAGCCTGCCGTGTTTGACCTGCTCAGGGTTGAGATGGCCCAATATGGTAAGTGGACGGAGCGTCATGAGGATAGCTGTCGGTCCCGTCCAGACACGCCGACAGCTAAGGCGTAGTCCCCGTCTCCTCGAACATTATCAGCTGTGTCCTCTGGCCAGTGGAAGTGTTTTGCATTAGCAACTACAAAACTGACCCGCTGGAGGCGGCCGAGGACACAATGCACGCGCCCAGACGGGTGTCCGCTGACTGCACTGGAAACTGGACCTGCGGAGCGTGGGTTGGACCCCGACACTTGCCTCCGGACACCCGGCGTCTGGGGGGCCGGCGTGCGCCGTACCGGATGGCGGGGGGGGGGGGGGGGCGACGAGAGTGTGCACCGGCCTGTCACCAGCGGCCCCGGGCGGCCAGATGTGTCTTCGCGCTGGGCGTATGGTGTCGGTGCCAGGGAGGTGCGGCGGTGGGTCACGCGAGGGTCGGGTGGCCGGAGCGCCGCCACCTCCTCACGATCGGCGGACGCCCAGCTAGCAAGGGACCCTCGCTCACTCGATTTGCCCTCTTCTACGAGTGCGGGGGAGGCGTGCAAAGTGCCACGAATTTAGACGTGTCCGTGAGGAATGTCGCTACAGATGGACTGTGAAGCGTGGTTGCGTAACTTTCACTGAAACATGACTGCAAATGAGTGGGGTGACACCTCCAGTGGTGAAAGCTGCTTCAGGTACGTGTCTTATGTTTGTCACAAAAATGATATTGACGGTCCCTTTCTAGGTCTTATGACCATCTAGAGGGCTACTAGGCCACATGAGGAAGTGTGTCCCTAAATGCACAAAACGTTATAAGCAACAACCACCACTCGAATGGTTCCGTTGTTGTATCCATCAACCTCGTCTTCTAGACTCTTGCGTGCCTCATACAATTTTCAATACTCCAAGGTAAACTGAATGCATGGTATGACAAACGGGACATACACCTCGCCCCGCGGTGGTAATTTTAATCGCCCGGTAGTCGACGTTAACAATTGGGAGGCTCGTTGCATGCCACTGGCGCAGCCAGCCTGTGTTCAGGATTTTCCCTCGGCTCTGTTTACAAAATATCGAACGGCCTCACAAGTGAAAGGGGCCGGTAACGTACTTTTGTAGCGGCGGCCCTGTAAAGAGTGGTGGCGTGTGCCACTCGCCCACACCGGTGATGGGTCGAGCACAGCCAGGGTACGCCAGATAGCTGGAAGCGGCCAGCCATCGAGGCCATAGGGTTACATAACTGGCTCACAGACCAGGCCGAGCTTTGACCAAGACCGGCGGCTGCTGGCACTGACGGTTAACGTTCGGGGTTCCCCTGGTGCTTTGGTGACGTCTCTCTCCTGTCGGTGCCGGCGCTGCCATGGCGGCGGCCGGCCGACGCACGGCCTCTCTCCTCCCGCTGCCTGCGTGGGAAGGACAGGAGAGGCTCTGTCTCGCTGTCTCCTGCCGGTGCCGGCGCTGCCGTGGCGGTGGCCAGCCGACGCACGCCCTGTCTCCTGTCGGTGTTGGCGCTGCCATGGCGGCGGCCGGCCGACGCACGGCCTCTCTCCTCCCGCCGCCTGCGTGGGAAGGACAGGAGAGGCTCTGTCTCGCTGTCTCCTGCCGGTGCCGGCGCTGCCGTGGCGGCGGTCAGCCGACACACGCCCTGTCTCCTGCCGGTGCCGGCGCTGCCGTGGCGGCGGTCGGCCGACGGCCGTCCCGCAGGTGGGCTGTTTACCACCGGGAGCTGTCCGAACCGGACTGGCTAGGTGACTGCCTGGGCGATGGACTGGAGATAGTGTCCGCGTGCGGGTCGTATCCCCCTGTGATTCGACCCGGTGCGTCGGACGGTTTGAGGAGGACCTGATAAACTGCGAGGGCCTGACATCAAGAGAGGAGCGGTTCCGTGCTGTACCACCAGCGGCCTGACCAAGCCGCGGCGAGCGCCACCTGAGCGGGGTTGAAGCGCTGCCACCTCGCCGCCGTCCCGTCGGCGGACAGGACGGGCGGTGGACCGCTGACGCGAACAAGGCGGCTTTTGCGGCGGCACAGACGTCCAACTAGACACTGCTTTCATTAATGTCAGTCGAGAACAACCTTAGTCTGTTTGCATGGTGTCATGCAAGTTAGTTCCGTCACGCAGTGCCCGTTGGCTGATGTTTTAGCCCTGATGCACGACAGGCCCTGCGCCAGCGGAAGCTGAAGATGAGCGGATGTCTCCAGCTCCTTGCCTCCCGACCGAATGGAGCTATAGAAAAAAATGAAGGCCGGCGAATGGTCGGTGCTATTCTATAAAACAATATTTCGAGTTTGTCTCTAACCTGCTCACAGGCAAACCTCAAAGCCAGCTTTTTCATACACTTAAATGGTAAATGTCAAGTGGTTAGACGGTAAACTCTGGGAAATCTGCGCGGGGCTCAAACCGTCTACCTTAATTCTATATCATATTTGTTTTAGAAATATGCACAACAGAACTAATATTATTCTTTAAAATATGACTTCTGGCACGATGAATTTTCTTGCCAGCGTGCGTTGTCAGTAGCATGTAGTGTCCACACGTGGTTTTGAAGCCGCCTTTGTTTGTAATTTCTGGTATATTATATGGCCTAATACCAAATGTTGTCACAGTTGGAGGTACCCGCCCCACAGCCCCGTGTGATCTTTAGTGGCAGTTATTTCCCATGGTTTACTTATTTGTTTTACGCCTTTGCATACGCAGTTGTTTGCGCTGGCCAGCGGTTTGAAACAAAGCGAAAATATCGTCAATAACCTCATTTCGCATCGTCATCATGGCACCAAGTCATTGACCTGACAAGACATAAACCTTAAAGTTCCAGGGTTTGTCAGGAACGATATTCGTGGGGCGACGCGAATTGAACAAGGACGACAAGGTTCATTCTGCAGCTATGCCGAAAAGTGCCTTGGGACGGATGCGTGCTCTGACATCGCGAGTGTCTGAATGCTCCTATCTGGATATACACCTTTATGAGCTGAGCTTTGCATTGACTCCTTTCAGATGCCTCTGACCTAAGTCATTGCCTCCAAAAGCTCACTGCGTTAGTCTGCGTTGCACATTTTTTGCGTAACAAGTCGGAAATTCTTGCAACATTTTAATATTCGCTGGGAGGTGCCATGTGTGCAATTCTTGGGCATTCGTGACGTAAATAAATGCTTAGTTTCAAAATGCAGGAGTCGCATGGTTCCTCCGCGTCATTAGTATCGAATAACCTAAAGTTTATCGCACGTATATGTTGGATTTTTCTCTGCGGTATATGCAATAGACGGAAGTAACAAACATACCACTGTATGTTAATTTATTTATAAAGCGATATGTACGTTACACGTAACAACGAGTGAACAAATACTTATTATCAATGGCGTGTAAAAGAAACACTTGGACCCCACAATCACTTAAGTTGCCCAACCGCAACACGCTTACACAGCGGGGCTCAACGCAATCGCTCATTTTATCCCAACATAGGTACTAAGAGTTACGTAACACATCGGGCCACGTAGCTTAACATGAACACTCACTGCGATCTGGGCTGTACTCAGTTCACAGGTTCCAAAGTGCCGTCAGCACACGGGCCTGGGTAACAGCTAAGTCCTGACGCATAACGTGCCTGCATCTCCCCACCTCTGCCCCGCCGCCGACGCGTCTTCTGGCGCCGTCCGGCTCCCGCCTCGCGCTACAGGCCACGCACCTTGCGCGAGAGGCACATCACCGACGCACACTGCAGTCAAGTCCCGGCAGCCGCACGGCCACGGCCAGACCTCCCGCGGGCCTCACTCCGCGCACGCGTTCGCTTGCCCGCTGCGGCCGCACTCGGTGGCAGGAGCCCCACCTCGGGCCGCGCCGGGGCTCGTCCCGCGCCGGGGCGCCTCAGATCTCGGGCCGCGCCGGCTCGAGCGACGTCACGCGCAGCGGCCCGTCCTCGCGGATGACGCCGTCGGGCGAGCCTTGCTCACCGGCGAACGACTCGACGTTCTCGAACCGGCTGCCGAGCCCGCCCGGCGCCGCGCCCGAGCCCTCCGGCTCGGCGGCGCCGGCCTGCGCCGCCCGCTGGCGCAGCTCGTCCGCGCTGATGAACGGGAACGACTCGAGGAAGAGTACGTTGCCAAGGTTGTAGACGTGCTCCTGCCGCGGCAGCAGGCGTGCGCCGTTGATGAAGGTCTCGCCTGGGGCAGTCGGAGCGTTAGCTCGGGCTTACCGTTGGCTACGGACTACCGCGACCGCAAAGCGTGATCGGCGCTTTCCAGCACGTCAAGCTAAGCTAGGAGTTTAAGGCATTAGTCATTTATAATTTGAATTGGTGTCTTAAGCAAATGCCTATGTATAACACCTTTCAACAAGACAACGAAGGAGGCATGTGACAAAGACTATCAGTAAGACATGGTGCTCTTTTCTACCTCGAAGCAATTTGCTCTGCTTCCCCAACCTAATCTTTACCAGCAAATTATAAGAAGATCCCCTAACCGCATCGCATGCATGCTAGCCGGAGCCGTCCAGCCAAGTCAGCCAACACGGCTGTGTGTGACGCACCAGGCGCCGAGCGGCCCGACCGCCCGGTGTCCGGCACTTACCGTCCTTGACCTGGACCTTCATCGTCTGCCCGCCGAGTGTCTGGGTGGTGAAGCCGTCGCGCAGGTCGTGCTGGTACAGCCGCTCGGGGACGAGGTGCGACAGCAGCAGCTGGTCGCGCAGTGCCGAATCGGCCAGCAGCGGGTCCCCGCCGGCCGCACCCAGCGCCGCCGCCACGGCGCTGTCGTCCAGCGCCAGGAACGTGTACTTGTCTGCGGCGCGCGGCAGGGACGGGAGTCAGCGGCACAGCGGCGCAGCGGCACAACGGCACAGCGGCGCAGCGGCACAGCGGCACAGCGGCGCAGCGGCACAGCGGCACAGCGGCACAGCGGACAGCGGCGCAGCGGCACAGCGGTCGTACGCAGCGAGTATTTGCTGCTGGGCGGTGACAGATACCGCCAAGTGAGGGGGTAGCAGGGCGCGCGATGCGGCTCTAGGGTCAGCGGTGACAAAGGACGCACAAAAACAAGCGATCAGGTGACGCCCTGACGTCAAGCGGCATCACTCCCTCAGGTGACCAGAAAAAGCAGCGTAGTATCGTGCGACTGATCCATGCATCTACACCACACAAATGCCAATACAATTTCATCAATGTGGTCGCCCCACCGCAAATAAAATCAGTTATCGATCCTGATTCAACCCGACCACCAAATCGGCCCACCGGCAGCCGGGCCTCGAATTGCCAGTCACGCAACGTCTACTGGCGCGTGTACACCGGGCGGGCCCGGTCAAGGCCAGGCTCTGGGAGATGCGAAAGGTCGTCGCGTCACGTCGGCGCCGGGACGGCAGGCGTCAAGCAGCCCCGGGGATTGGGGCTAAGCTGGAGGTCACGCGGCGGTCGGACGGGGCGGCAGACGGCGGGTCACGAACGCCGGACGAACTACTTTTGCCGGCCGAAAACACTGACCGGCGACACGGGTGATAACGGAAAAAACGGACCGGTTTGATCCACAGGTTTCCTTGCTGCTAAGAATGCGCACCCAACTCACCTTTCATGAATGTACACATGAGAAAATCATGCTAAACGTCCTTACACAGCCGTGTGTTAGTGCAGTAATGCTATACAACGTGGCGCCATTTACACCAATCATGTGTGCTTTCTGTCAAAGAAATAGATAAACATTTTTGGTGTGCCACAGCAAAAACCGGAGGTGTTCAACAGGCTAACACATCGGGGTGCTTACAGTCATTCGAGACGCTTGTTACAATGTCGTCGAAGCTCCGGTACAGGTAGTCAATGAACTTGTTGAAGGTGGCATCACTTCCTGAGTTTTCTCGGTGCGTCAGTTCTCCGATCAGATGCGCCAGAAAGAGTGCCTCTCCGGCCACTCCTGCGGAGAACAGTGAGTCAGAGCACTGCATATTCGGGAATGTCGTAAGCAGCGCGCCCGTATTCCAGCGGGAGAAGTCCTTAAGACGTCCTGTTGGGCTGGAACAGAGGACCAAAATCCAAACAACGCGTGTATCTTTCCGTAGATCACCACGCCCGAGGCCCACGCTATGTACGTAGCTCTATAGATCCCTCAAGTTTCAAGCACCTCTGTGATAAAACTTCACGTGCATCAGGCTCTGAAAAACGCTGAACCTTTCCCTCCCAGGGACTACGCAGCAGGAAGAGGGGGCGGAGGGTAGTTGCATCTCTATCCGCCGGCAAGGGAGAGGAAGAAGGGCATGTTTTTCCCCCGTTAATTTTGGGGAGGCTCCTTTTTCCAAAACCAAGGGCATTGCAGCTACGCGCAGATTACGAATATTCAGATAAAAGCGAACCTCTTAACTGAGCTAAGGAGTAATAAATCGGGCCCAGAACACGCTTTGCTGCATCAAGAGTTTTCCCAGGGGCCCCTTTGCTCGCTCGGGAGGCATCCGTTACGACCTAGGGGTCCCTGTTCTGAACTAGGCGCCACCCTCCATATGCAGGAGGCCCCTTTTATGCATCAGATAGCTGCAGGTCTGTATCAGGATGCCCCGTATTGGGATAACACGGCCCTTGGCTGGATTTTGGGCCCCTTCGCGAATCGGAAGCATACTGTTCTGGATAAGCGGGTACCTCCATGCATCAGGAGGCCCTTTCTGGGGCAGATGTGCCTGTTTTAGGGTAGCGAAACCCTATGCTGGCCAATAAGAGGATCCTCATTCTGAATTTTTAGTTGTCCATATTTGTTTTTGCCTGGATATGATACATGTACCAATCTGACAAGAAGGCACATGTCCTCGGCGCCCCTCCCCCTTGAATCCGACACTGCCCAGCAGCCAGCCCCCCTCCCCCTCCTCTGAAAAAGCCCCATTTTGTCCAGGAGGCCCCCTGGAAAATCCCGTCTGCTCCCAACTCCAAATCCGTGGAGCCACCCCTGTCCCTGCCCACCAAAGCACGTGCAAACGCACACGCACTCACGCACGCACGCACCACTGCCTTGCCACCTACCGGCCACCAGGGGCGCCGTCTCCTTGTCTCTGTGCTGCAGCCGCAGTTCGGCGACCACGTCATAGTCGACGAAGAGCAGCTCATCCAGGAAGAGGATGTTGCCGTGCGAGATGGGCGTGTCGCCCAGGAACAGCGGGTTGCCATTCACCAGGATGTTTTCTGCGGGCGATGTGGGGCGAGCCTGCAGTCAGCTGTCGTGTCGCTCTGAGACGGAATGATCAGCGGAACAGAACAAAGGCAGAAGTGCTAATTAGGGCAGTTTTCGCGGTAACAGGACAGGGTATATAACGCGCAAGACATCAGATCGAAGGGCACGGGAAAATCCCGAGAGGGCTTAATTACGGTTGGTATCCAAGACACATGGGAGTAAACGATGCGTTGCGAGACTAAACGTAAGCGTTGCCAGTAGTGATGCGTTTCTCACGCATTTCACAGGCACGCAAAACGTATCCATTTCTTGGCTATTTGGTTGGTGCCCTGATCTAGTCAAAAACCGCAAACCAGCAAGGCATAAGGTAAGATTTTCCAAGACGGATACGTTCAGTTAAAAACTGAGGCCGTATGGAAGAGAACAGTGCTATGTACTTTTGCGGTGCCTGCGTGACATATGACGGAAACCCCCAAAACAGCAAAGTATTACTACGGATTTCATCACAGAATCTGCGTCGCAAAACGTCCGTAAATACCCAAAGCAAACTTTCCAGCCAAGCATGGTTAAAAAAACGTGATCAGGCGCAGGTGGAGGGCTTCCCGTGGTCCCTGAGTTTCCCATGGACTTGTTCGATATCAACACTGTTATGCGACCATCACGGACCTGGACATTTGGCACGCGCTACGAGGGAGGGCGCCCGTAGCCTCAACCGCATCAGATACGACGCCTTAAGCTCCCACTAAGACGAGGTCTCAAGCTTGACAGCTTTGTCTGACTCTGCCAAATTTTCGCCAGACGAAGCTTTCCAAATGCGCTAGGAGCCAGGAACTGGCCCCTAAGACATTCGGGTAGCCACTGAGCTTAAGTGATCAGTTGATATGCGAATGGGGAAATTAACTAGCATTACAGCCCACCATGCGAACCTGAACAGAAGAGGATTGCCTACAAACAGCGTGGGTTATACAGCGGGAAGTACGCAAAGCAACCGCGTTTAATGCGTCTGAGCAGCATACAGCAGAATCTGTGGGAGCTCACGGGTGAGATAATTGCTCGGACTATCCATCTTGTCTGGTGTGTTAGTATGCATTTCACGGTTTGGCCAGTTGGTTCTTTGGCCGTCGTCGGCTGTTTTTGAGTCCTGAGAAAGACTGTATGGTCTTTGTTTTCAGTCATGCATGTAAGCGTCACAACCTGCATTTTTACATTCTTGCCTTGTAATCGCTGGCATTCGAGCCGGGGTTTTCTGATTGTGATTCCAGTGCCTTACCGATTGAGCTAACTGTGAAGGATTAAGTGGTATAGCTCAGATAGGTAGCTCAGCTGGTAGAGCGCTGTGCTGCCAATCAGAAGACCCCGATTTGAATCCAACCAATCTCATGGAGATAATTCGCATTGTGACGCATACATATCGCATTCGTTTTTTAGTTGGACAATGCGTGTGCCATCAATAAGCTTTCAATGTCACAATATTTCACGTTTGCTACAGCCGGTGACATGCGCGACACAGGCTCACAAGAGTCTGAGAGTCACAGACTCACAATTACGACGTTAGGTCTGTCCTAGCGCGGATACTCTGACTTACCTGGGACTTTTTTGAACTTAAGCTCCTTGCCGCCCATGGTCTTGATCCTGAGTCCATCCTTGATATCCTTGCTGGTGAGCTTTCCCGGCGCAAAGTGGTTCATAATCGTTTCTCGGGTAAACTCCTTGACCAGGAAGGGGTTGAAGCCCCAGTCGATCGGGTAAAACCTCTGGAACGCTTCGTTTACTGGGAGGAAGAGCGTGTACTCCTTGTCTGTGAAATACAACAAGAAGATCTTCAAACTGTGAGCATGAATCTCGATAATACACCGACAGACAACTTGATAAATGTGTGGCGGCTATCACATCTCCGCTAAATACCTATTGCCAAAGGCACCAGATCACCAGCGTGTCTACCAATGTTCCAAACGATTCCGCGATTGTTTTCTGGCAGAACTTCTTTTAATCCCTGAAGCTGCTTCCTTGGAAACGAGCTCCAGGCCAACACTTCATGCGGCCTCTAGCCCTCAGGCACAAATGCTGAACAACTCCGCCGTGCCTTGAAAGGTCTCTGTACGCGAGTACCCGCCATTTGATCCCTGTGGGCATTTGGCCTTGTAGAATACGCCAGCTAAGGCACAAGGTCTTCGTCAAGGCTTCAGTGATATTTTTGTTCTCCAAGCGTTAGCCTTTGTCAACCGGGCTACGATGGCGAAACGGCCTCGGGGAACGGGCTCGGCTGTCAACAGCGCATTACAAAGTTGTTTCAACTCATTGCTTCTTAAAATAAAAAAAAATGTTTTTGATATCTACAAAAACAAAATGTGAAACTTAAACATATAGTATATCTTCATGACAAGAATCGCATGTGATTGTGATTCCTACTTCTCCACTAGCACGCCAGTCGAGCGCCTTAAACGGTAAGTCAAGCAGGTGATGCGCTCGCGCTTTACTCGAACCGCGTGCGAAATCCGAGACATCCCCGTGGTGGCTGACCTTTGCTGAACATGGAGGTGATGTTGGCGTCGTAGAAGTAGCCCTGGAACTCGCCGACACCGGAGCGGAGCAGACTGAGCGCGTCCTCCACAGCCTCGACGAAGCTGTCTTTGCCGACGGCTGGGATCTTCACCCGCTGGTTGTTGGTGGCGAACTCGTGGCCGACCGGGTCGACCGCGTGAGCCACCGCCAGCCCCGGCTCCGGGTCCGACAGCTCGCCTACCTCATTCAGCAGCGGCAGCGAGGCCGTCTCACTGGCGGTGAGGTCACCCGGCTCAGTGTCGCCGCTGCCATCTATCGGTGACTCAGCAACGTCCGGTTCGGCAGACGGCCGCAGGGTGTCCGGCAGCGGGATGTAGTCGGCGGTGCGTACGATGCTGGCGTTGGTGATCTCCAAGATGTCGCCGATGATCTCGATTTTGTTTACATAGAGACGCCCTGAGGAAAAAAGGAGACGCTGTCACAGAGAAAGACACTAAAGGGAGTGATGAGACTGTTTGATCGCTGCGGAGAAGACCCGCACGGATGCACTTGCAAACAGTGCTGGTGGAAAGATGCTGTGTCCAAACACGACCCAACAGGGCATGAAAACAGCATATTCAGCAAAGGCGATCATACATTATCATGTAGATCAGTCATACGCGAATGCCCACTGCACAAAACGTTTGATGTTTAAAAGCAAGGGTGTACATCGCAAAGGTTATCAACACAGCCTGCCCGGGATGCACACGATTCAGCGGTTTAGAACCTTCGATTATGGACAAGAACTGAACGTTGCTCATCTCAGATTTCTCGTACACGCTTGGATGAAACCAAGCATTGGGATATCTTTACGATTTTTACGCGATGTGATCATTATTTGTCGATTACGCAAGCGAAGTCATAAAGTGGAAGGACGGCCCGCAGTCCCAGCTGCCCGGGAAGAGCGCAGGAAGGACGCCCAAGCCGCCGCCGGATCTGGACGGCACTCGGCTGCGTCGACGAGCTTCACCGAGCGGGCCGCCACTGTCAGCGGGCGTGCCGCCACTGTCAGCAGGCGTGCCGCCACTGTCGGCGGGCGTGCCGCCACTGTCGGCGGGCGTGCGCTGACCGCTGACGGGACACCAGCTCAGGCCGGACCCAGGCGGACAGAGCCGGGTGCCGCCGCCTCGGCTGGTAACCCACCTTACCCATGCGCCCGTTGACGGCGGGGCCTGACAGACACTGACTGGCTGGCCGAGCTGGTCGCTGTTCGCGTGAGGGAGTCAACGGACTGGAGGTCCTGACTGGGGCGATATGTTCAATGGAGACAATGGATTCGGTAGGCGATTAAATAACTCAGTTCATTCGTTATCGCAGACGCTTGATCTGTGCATGTTCTGCGGTAGGCTCGATGACAGCTTGATATGCACCAAGAATCCAGATCTCAGCTGAACTATGCAGATGTCATATTTGCTGTCTACCAATATCAGGCGATTTATTACCTGAACAACCCGTTTGTCCGTGAAAGTGAGCGAGAGAGCTCGGGTCGACGTGATCAAACATAGCATTAGTGAAGTACCGGACCACTCGACATACACCGTCGGTGTTTCATAGAAAAATTGTGTACAGATAATCTAACGGTGGCTTATCACTATTTGCCCAACGGATTTAAACGGTGGATTTAGATAAATGATTTGCTGATTCATCTTATAAGTGAACAAGGCATTTCCAACTTTATTTCGACATCGGACTTCCAATAGGTCTGCTGAAATTTCACGGGAGGTTTGGTACGAGTTAATGGCTATCACGGGGCAGTATGAGATAACGGATAAGGCTATTTCTCAGAAGTTTTTCTCTTCGCCGGAACGATTTCCGTCCACGATTATCTTCCAGTCGCATGAAGCTGGAACAACCGCCATCGGGGGTCTTACATTAGCCTCATGCTTTTCACGGGTTAGCTACTCTTTTCCGCTTGGAGTGCCACCCGTTCTAGTGGGCTGGCTACCATTCCTATCAATGCCGCTATCGTCCGGCACTCAACCGGGGCGTTCCGCGGCGTTTTTGCCGCACGCGAGCACGGCTGCCGCGTATCTGTGAAAATGGCGAGCCGCAGCCTTGAGGCGCGGCGCCGGTGGCGGCGGGGCGGGACCAAGCCGGGGCCGGGGCTGGGGCTAGCACCGGCCTTCGACGCCGGCGCCGCTCTTCAGACGGCCTCGTGCCACAGGTCCGCGGACGACGACTACCACTGAGACGATGGCAGCCCTCACGCGCTGTGCCGCGAGCGCACTGCTGTTGCAGAGCTATCACTCCCCGGCCGGGTGCGGCGTTGCAACGACACCAGGCAGTGGGGGTCGAGGCGCCGTGAGTAAGCCCATCAGAAAACAGCACCGGTGCGCCACGTCCAGCGCGTCTTCGATGCGTCATCGTTATCTATGTCGCTGGCTGCTTAGGATGCACGTCCGCTAAATAGCAAGGGTGATCTGCCTTCGTTTGCAAGCCCAGCCACAGGGGCTTCAAGTCCTGCCGCCGACGGACGCTGCCGTCTGTGAATGGCAGGCTCGGTCAGCTGGTCAGGACCAAGCGGTCCGCGTCACATCCGGACACTCCGTACACAGAGAAGTGTCCGGACGTGCTCCTCGTCGCCGTTCTGGCGGGGTGTTGGATCGCCACTGCAGCGGCCGTCCAGGGTCGACCGTTTCAGTCCGCGACTAAAACCCATCCGCAGCCCTTGACTGACAGACCGCCACAGCTCTCGACTGTCAGACAGCTGCAGTCCTCGGCTGACAGACAGCTGCAGCCATCGACCGACAGACCGCCACAGCTCTCGACTGTCAGACAGCTGCATTCATCGACTGACAGACAGCTGCAGCCCTCGACTGACAGACAGCTGCAGCCCTCGACTGGCAGACAGCTGCAGTCCTCGTCTAACAAACGGCTGCAGTTCTCCACTCACAGACAGCTGCAGTCCTCGACTGACAGAATGCCGTAGTTCTCGACAGCTACAGTTCTCTGCTGTTGACAGTTGACAGACAGCTACAGTTCTCTACTGACAGCTGCGGTCCTCGACTGACAGAATGCTGTAGTTCTCGACTGACAGACAGCTGTAGTTATCGACTGACAAATAGCTATAGTCCTCGACTAACAGACAGCTTCAGTCCACGACCAACAGGCGGCCGCCGTCCAGGACTGACAGACCGTTTTAGTACTCGGCTGACAGACGGCCTCGGGCCGGCTGGAAGTTCGTGACGGTCTCGGTCCAGAGCGTCCAGACGCCTCCCCGGACCACGGCGCGTCCGTTCCCGGACGAGACCTGACACTGTCCCGGCTGAAAACTTGCGACTATCTCGAATCAGTCACGGTCTCTGCCGGTCGCAGCTGACGCGGCCAGCGACCGTCCACCACGAGCCGTTACCATGGCGTCGGGTCAAGGGCGATGCCAAGGTTATCAGCGGCCACCTCCCCATGGAATGGCACTTACGGTCATGAGCCCACACCGCCGGTGGCAAAGGCATGAGGTATGAATCAACCGAGATATCTGTGCGTCCACACTATAGCCGCCTAGCTGGCGCACGTCAACGAACGTGCAGTTCGCACAGTTTTGGTATAAGACGTGGTCGCCTGCTAACACCCGACGCGGCTGATCTATAACTAGCGCTCCAATACCGTGCCTAATCATGACCGCATTGTTAAATAAGTTATAGCTGTCTTAGCGGAGAGCATGTTAGGTCAGCAGAAGCAGCCTGGCGGCAGGAAGCCAAGCTCTGCATTGGTAGCGATTTCACCAGAAAACATGATCCCTTTTTTTAAACACAATCCAGTTACATTCGGAAATCACGCTGAGCCGCCGGTTTCACACCTGGTAGGTACGCCTCACATATGCCCAATTTGGATCTAATCAGGGACGTAGGAATATTAAGCCTGCTCATTCACTTATCGTGAGTTTTACATTGGCCCTTAAACGATGTATCAAAAGCACGGACTTTAAACAGGAGACTCGTTCCATGGACTCACCCACTTTCGGAATTCCCACGCTTCTGGGGTTGAAGAGCCCTCCACGGGTTCTAAGCCCCATTGCACGCCAAGGTATTGAGCCAAAGCTAGTGCTACGCCAGCTTTGGCTAAAATTCAAAGAATTGGCCATATCAAGCCACGTTTCCTATTACAAAATTTCGTCAGCACGTTGATTATCGTGCACATTGATCCCGTAAAGCCTGATTCCGATGTCTGAAAATTCCAGCTCTGGATGACCTGGGAACGCCCTCTCAAATGCTTCCTTAATCTGGAGGCACTCAGCCGTCATGGCACGAGGAACGATTTGAGGCACATTGGTGCCGTTCCGAAAACGAACGCTTCTGGTATCAGCTGTTTGCACATCATTCATCCGCAGCCAACAGAGATGGCCCATATCGGTGCCATCCTGCTTTGGGATATGGTTTTCTACGAACTCGTGCCTTTAATAGGTCACTAGCACATCTGCAGTTGTCTTCTCTCGCTTGCGGCTTGTTGCAAGTAGAGCTATATTCCCTACAGCGGGCCACATAATCCTCCAAGATGGTAAAGCTCCTCACACTCACCCACACAGTGGGAATCACACCAGCGCTGACAGTTTCTGACTACCGCCGTACAGGTGTCTTCGACTTTACCATTCTACGAATGTGCATGACACACTCAGCCCCCCCCCCCCCTTATCAAAGTCCGGGGGGAGGGGGGGAAGTGAAGGTAGCGACGGTTCCCATACACCAGAGCCAGCCGGTGGCCCCGGGGGCGTGCGGCTCGCGCCGGCAGAGGCCGCTGACTCATCTGAAGGCGCCACGGCGTGTTCTGCTAAGGCCGGCGCGTGCACAGCCGGCCCGGCCCAGGTGCGGCACACGGGAGCGGCGCGAGCCGTGAGTCAGACAGCCCGGGTGGCTCTGCCAACGGGACCCACCGCGCGTGCCCCGACTTCCGACGGTGGCTGAGGCGACGCGGCTAAGGCGGCAGGCGGCGCCGACGAGCCCGGCCGGGGTCCTGCCGTCGGCTTAATGTGGGCACCGCTGAACACGAATTTGATGGTTGCGATATGGCCGGAGTCCATTGTCATCACTTTCACAACTGGAGGTGTACCGATGGGACTGCTGGCCGTTTAACACTGATTAATTCAGCCAACCAAGTCCTGTGGAGAAGACATGATGCACCTCGGCCCGCTGATGGCTTGCTCGTGGATAATGCAGTTAAATAACACTAGTGGTAACGTAGCACACAGCTTTTAGAGTACGATACGTTGCGCCAGGAGTCATTTTGAAGCCCGCGACTATTAGAAATGCCTGCTTCCTTTTGGTATCTCAGCTAAACGCAACTCACTGCGCCAACAAATGACGCGTCGTGTTCTGCGTGCAGCCAATGTGTAGACGACAATGAGTATTTCGTAGCATCGATCGACACCGGTGGTAACCATGACACTCCCTGGACAGAAAACAACGCCCCGATCCTGGAAAATACCGCCTTCGTTCGCACTATCATGTTGAAAAATGGAGACTGTTGCTTTCGAGCTCGTTGAAACTGTCCAAGGCCGCAGTGCCACCCTGATGGTTGAGGAGTTTAAACCAAAGGGGCTGTTAGTGGCGCAGTAGCAGACGGGGACGAACCGGCTGAGGAACATCGCAAACGGTGCTTCAATGTAAAATATCGCAACTGCGGTCAGATAGTGCACATGCATTTTTTTTCCAATGCTTTGCTTTAGTTGTGCGGATCTATAAAATCAGATGCTAAAAATCGAGTGCTAACGACATGCCTGGCCATGGCTTCCGCTGTAGTTGGTGGGGTCCTGGCCGCCGTAACCTTAGGCAGATGGGATCATTTCATTTGGAGCACAAGTCTAGCGACAAAACGAAAGAGGACCCCAATACAATTTGAGGTTGTATTTATGCCCATAACATTCGTAGGCACGGGAAACATGCCGACGTTGGGAAAGCGTCGAGAGGGGGGGGGGGGGGGGGGATAGCAAGTCTATGGAGACAAACTAGCCCATACCTAAAATAAAACTTCCCTTGGATTTCGAGAAGTTCTTTTCTATATTTGAGACCCTTGGCCGATAAATTCAGCTCAACATCTTGTTTTTAAGCATTTAAACTTCCACATCGTTACCGTTCACGAGAAGCTCAGGAGTTCAGGGTCTGACATGCGTTCCCTGCTCCTCCGCCCATAAGGTTACCGTCTCCTTCCGCTTTCTCCGCCAGGCCCCGATGTTTCCGCGGCTATTCGATTTGTACTAAGTGGAGCGCAAACTGACTACACTGACTGACCGCACCAGACTGACTGCACCCGACTTACTGCACTAAACTGACGACCGCACCCGACTGACTGCACCCGACTGACCGCATCCAACTGACCGCACCCGACTGACTGCACCCGACGGACCGCATCCGACTGACCGCACCAGGCTGACCGCACCCGACTGACTGCACCCGACGGACCGCATCCGACTGACTGCCACCCGACTGACCTCATCAACTGACCCGCACCCGACTGACTGCACCGACTGACCGCATCCGACTGACCGTACCAGGCTGACCGCACCAGACTGACTGCACCCGACGGACCGCACCCGAGTGGCCCTTAGAGGAGTACACAACGTAGTCGAGCCTGGGCGATGTTGTGTGACGGCACGGATCAAGCTTACGGGCTCGACGCAGCACAGCAGCGCTTACTCGCCCGCCACCCCGTGAGCCCTCGCCGCCAAACTGCGTGTGTTACGTAAGTCCAAGACCCGCGGCAGCGACCACAACAGTGGATGAGTGTGTCCTTTGTCGACCGGCCGCCTCGGCGCCCACTATCGCGCGGGCCCCCGACGGCTTCCAGGAGCCGCGCGCGGCGGCGCGGCCCGCGTGTGACGAAGTGCCTGGCGGCGTCGCCGCCCCGGCCGCCGATTTCCAGGAGTCGGCCGACGGCGCCGCAACAGACGCCGTCCGTCTGAGTCACGCGCGGGGGCGGGCGTGACGGCGGCGTGAGGCGGCGTGACGGGTATGGCGGGCTGTGGGGGCGTCGCAGGGCGACCGTGCGGAACAGCGCGGTCCGCTATAGCCGGGGGACCTGGAGCTTCGCAGCGGCTGCAGATGTCCTCGCTGCCGCACTGGCTTCCGTTTTTTTTAGGCGAGTTTGCGACTCACGAATGCATTCTAAGTTCTATGCGCCTTGTCGGGCTGCACGCTATGGCGGTGACTTCATGCAACGTTTGTGAGGAATGCCGCTTCGGAGTCGATAAGGGAGTCAGTCATTTTTCACTGTAGACCACGCCCACCCAGTGGCGTGTCACGAGGACGGTACCTGTCCACTGCGGACACGCCTCGTATAATGGCCCAGCCGCCACCGCCGCACGCCACGTCAAGCACGTCCACCATGGGAGGGCGTGCTTGGCGTGGCGTCGGCAGGCGTTTGGCCACGCGTCCCACACACGGGGCCGGACCTCCGGTAACCGGCGTTTTGTGTAACGAGACGACAGGTGTCCAGCGGCGTGCCTGGCTACCGAGGAGTTTCTGTGGCGTGCCCGTCCGGATGGTGTAAGCGTTTGCGACGAACCTGCTCGGTCGACAAAGAGATCTTGTGACGTACCTGCCCGGTCGGCAAAGAGATCTTGTGACGTACCTGCCCTGTCGACAGAGATCTTGTGACGTACCTGCCCGGTCGGCAAAGAGATCTTGTGACGTACCTGCCCTGTCGGCAGAGATCTTGTGACGTACCTCCCCGGTCGGCGACAAGATCTGGCGACTTACCTGCCCGGCCGGCGACAAGATCTTGTGACGTACCTGCCCGGTGGTGAAGACGGCCGTTGTGCCGAGCAGCGTGTTCAGCTTGAGCTGGCTACCCTCCTTCAGCTGCTTCAGGCGTTCCTCAGTCACCACCTCGCCCAGGATGATGTGGTTTCGAAGCACGTTGACGATGTGGTCGCGGCCGGAGAAGCCAGGCGTCAGCTTGACGCGATCGAACGCCTCGTTGCTCGGGGCCAGCACGGTGTAGGCCTCCTCTGAAATGACGCGGCCTTGTCACACCATGGTCAAACGACCCCGCTCTGACCGTCGTGTCGTCTCACGGTCATGGCCTTGTTCGGACCGTGTTGTCCTGCAGACATCAGCTTTGGTCGGAATGCTCACATTCCACAAACGGCTACGTATCTATGATTGTTTAATCTACTGATGGTACTGCCGTAATTGGTGTCCGTCATGACACGCAGCATACACCCAATATTGTTGTACACTGCTATTCCATTGGAGGCATCAGGCAGCTGTGACCCCGTTCCCACGTAGCCTTATTAATAAACATGTCATGATCGCGAACAGTAAGCAGACTGTAAGAGCTGTTGTTTGTGCAGCAAAACATTCCCGGCAACGCTGGGCTGCTTCTCAAATAATTTTGCCTTCATCAGCGCTTCAAAGCAATTCATAATTTCGGCGGTACGCCGTCTTTACGACATTTGATGACGGTTACATCGCGCCGAACAGGTTTCCCTTTCTCGTGCGTGGTGAAACCGAAAGGCAACGATTGCGCAAGGCAAGTTGAAAATTGCTCAAAGCGTGACGCTATTTAATAACATGCTCCACGTGCATGACCTCTAGTACGTGTTCCCGTACTGCCGGTTAGTTTTAGGAATGATGGTGATTGTGCTCACACTGAATGAACGCACATGAACAGAAGATTGTGCGGAAGCGGTACGCCGTTTTCCATGGCGCCCTGAGTATGAACAGGCCGCCTTATTTCACGGGGTGTTATCCCGCTCGTGCGCGGCTGACAGAGACCCGCGATCATAACCTGCCGTGCACTTGCAGCCCTCGCCCGACAGCCAGATACGGCACCTCGGAATCACTCCTGGGTCATCTAGCGTCATTCATAAGGGTTGTCACGCATGACATGACCACATCGCTTCAGAGAAATTAGACCTCGGGCTTTAAGTATATGATCAATTTCGCAGCCACCTACCCCTTTACAACAACGTGCGAAGATCCTCGTGGATCTCTTGACAAGCCGCCTTTCAGGATGTATTTGACTGCACTAGTGTCCAGCAATCTATATGCCCGTGCAAACGATGATGAGGAAATGCATCTGCTTACCCCCGCACCAGCTCACATGACACGATCTATTGCCGGAATACCGGATAGGATCTTAGAGCCACCTCGATACTTTATGAACCGTACGCACTTCAAGGGCTTTCGTTCGACGGTTGCAATCACCAGGTTTAAAAGCATGACCTTTGGTTAGCTGCAAGATACTACAAATCAAATAACGAAGGCCCGAAAAGCATGACTTTGCATAGACCCGTTGGTTGTGGAGGGGTGTGTATGTAAGACTGAGCCGGGGTGCACAGTGTAGGAAACAAAGTATCCGCAGCGGCGGACAGGCAATGGCATGTGTTGAGAGACTCTAGGTCATACAAATATTTCCCGCACATATCGGCACGATTTTGGCAGGATCACAGCAAGATAAAGCTTGCCTTGCCGAGTTCTCCCCGCACGACTGGCCGATTACGCCAGCTACCATCGCACTGGAAACTCGCACCGATAATTCGTCGACACGAAGGGAACACATTCGCCACTGTCAGAATGAGCACTTGTAGAAAATAGCCGGACAAAGGCAAGGGAAAGTTCCTGACCACAAACTGCATGCCGTCAGGTTGCCTGCTTGAAATGGACTTTTCTTGGATGTAAATTGTCCGACAGTTTATAAACAGAAAACCGCGCACGCAATGAACTTACAACTATTCCACCACGAAAGCTCGGATGATAGCAAGTAACACGTCGCATGTGAGAGGTAAAGCTCTACCTGACGAATGGTTCGGCGACAGAAAACCATACAACTGTTACGTGACGAACCCCGGTGCCTTGGAAGGCGACCAAGTCGGGCGTAGATCAGCTGATAAGACAAACTTAAAATATGGTAAGACCAATCTGAAAGGAGCCCGTGACAGAAAACCAGGTGACTTAAGCACGTCGGGTAAGTTTCCTGCATCCTGGTACATCATTTGCGATGGTTTGCATAGTTTTAATCCTCGTCCGAGGCACTCATGTGCGGTGGAATGTGACCAGGTGAACGACG